AAGATAATAAGCAAGCGCACCTAAGTAGTAGTGTTGTGGATTGATATTCAATCGAAATATTTGTAAAAAATCGGTGCCCAATGATCGACGAGTTAGTAGGGACGACTGTGAATATTAAAATATGATCGCAAACGTTCGATTTTAAATCCAAATAGCTTAATGAATAAAGTACTGAATAAAACGTTAGTTGCACGAAGCCATTGATTTAATAATTTTAATGCTGAAACTTTTGTATTTTAAAAATGTTATTTTCGGTGTACTATATCGTTTTTTTTTTAAATAGCATAACCTGAAAATGTTTACACGCATTTATGAGGTTTTAATATACCATTCACGTTTTTTTGTACAGATAATATTTAAATAATATTAGTAATGTGACGGTAAATTAAAATTTTCAATTAGAAACAATACATGATTACAATTCGAATTTTAAACGGTTTCAGCGCCCACAAAATTAAAAATAAGATAAAGGGTTTTTAAAAATTATTCGCAAAAAATATTAATATTAAAACTAAATACGAATGTCACAGTTTATTAGGTCATAAGAATCAAAATTGTAAATTTTTTTTCAATTAAAAAATTACAATTAAATATTACATCTAGTATGTGTTATCTATATTAGGCATTTTATTTGAGTATTGAGTCTAAAATTAAGTTGCAACGGAAAAACTAATCAGTATTTGGTAGATTTAGTGGAAACACATCATTCACTATATAATTTCCATAAATATTATTTTGCAAGTTACGTGCTTATACTAGATTTACCAAATAGTAATTGATAAAATACACAGTAACTTCCGTAAATGTTACCTATTTTTTTTTTTTTTTTTTTTTTTAAGTAGAATGTGATTTATAAATTTTGCATAGTTAAAGAAAATGATTTATGAAAGAAAATTAATGGGCGGAAAAGTTATTGGTTTAAAATCTTCGCAGGAGTTGATGCAGTATATCGAGTGTGAGCGAAGAAAAAAAAAAACTATAAACGTAAATACTTTGTATTTTTTCATTATTTGTATGTGAATTAAGAAAAAACAATTTTAACATAAGATTGAACATTTAATTGTAGATATATATATATATATATATATATATTGGAAAATATTGTCTTTATACACACTATACATAATTAAAAAAAAAATGTCGTATGCGTGGAATAAAAAAAAAAAAAATTATAAACTAAATTCATTCTACGCTTCTTTCAGAATAAATTACAGTATAATATAATATATGATGAAAAAATTATACACTTTGTGTATTATATAGATATACGAATGTCGAGTTCTTAAAAATCTATTTAGTTCAACAAAAACAATGGAAAACGACGTTATTAAATAACAATATGTACTAATGATATTACATCACTGAAGTATTAATTAGTACATTTACCATTAATTTTACTACTATTTAAGTCTCTATTTTTAAACTTGAAATGTTATAACCTATTAAAAGTATATTTATAAAAAAAAAATGTTCATTATTAGTTAACGATTATCTATAATTATACGTACTATTAAAAACTGTTCTATATATATTATCAATTGCCATATTTATCAATATAGAATAACATGAAAAAAGATTACCTATAATATGTTGGATGATTTGATATAATGAGTTAAGCATATAATATATATATATATATTTATATTCAAGCACTTATATTTTATAATTATTTGAAATTGAGAGCTTATAGAGAAAATTATAAACCTGAAGGTTATTTAAATTATATATAACCATTATTTAAACATCAACTATTGTGATTGAAACTTTAGCATTTTCAGTATGAATAAAATAATAAATATAACTTTTTTTTCCTATTTTCACATTATTCTTTCGCGTTAAATTAATAAACATTTTCATTTTGAAATATAAACAGTTTTCCATTTTAAATAAATTTAAAGTGTTTAATTAAAAAAAAAAAAAAAAGTACCAATAGAAAATAAATAAATAAATTTTTATTATTTAAATTAAAAAATTAAACGAAAGTTTAATTATTATTTCCATAATATGATAATTTTCGATAATATATTATGTATCATATTATTAATACCACAAATACTTATGTATTTGTTTTACAATACGATATTTATTTTAAATATAAACGTTTGCTTATAAACGAGTTAAAGAAAAAATTCAAGTTCAATATTTTTCTTAACAGAATCATTTTAAATGGTGAACTTACATATCTAATATTAACTAATACCATTATTATTTGGTTGAAATTAAATTTTAACAATTCTAATAAATTCTATTAAATTTCAAAATATTTGAATGGTTAGCATCACGCATTCGTTTTGGTTTATGCATTAAAATTAAAAGCTCTAGTCTTCACAGTTTACATATGATATAAAAAATGTAACTACAGTTCACAGAATTTTTATTCTTACCTAACTTAATTATTGTACTGTAATATTATGATCGATGCAGTTTTAACTTTTGATCATATTACATTGTTTGACTGATAGAAAGTTCAAAGTAAAGTTTTTTCCATTTTGTTTGTCTACAAAAAAAAATATAAAAAACATTTCATTCTGATGTATGAGATTATTAAATTATGAATGTATATTTTTACTCTTGCGCCTGTGACCAGTTTTTAATAAATTACGAGTGTACGACTTATTCTGTGAATTAAATTTTTTTTTTATTCTATTATTTGATTAAAATACCCAATAAGTACGAATATCTCGTACTGGCACACTGAGAGGAATAAATAAGTAATTTTATTTAAAAACAAAATTATACACTTGCCAGCATATTTTCCTGAAAATCACAACAAAGTAACATTAATGTAATATCAACTAAAACAATAACATCTGATTTTCAGTTAAAATGCAAGTCGACGGGGAAAAAATTATACAATTTTATCTACGAAAATATCACATAATACGTTCTAAATGTTTTTAATACTAATGTGTTTCATTACATTATAAATAGAGCAATGCATAATGTTAGCAGCTGCTATGTCGATGCCTAAGTATTGATATCAAATTTTTATATATTTCAATTGTCTATTATATTCGAATGGAAACAAATTGAGTTTTCGTTTGCATTATGCACGTACGATATTGTTGAAAAAAATACGAAGTAACAATAATAATAATAGTACCAATATAGTTTTTTTTTGTTATTTGTCATAATCGCGTATGCAGTGTAACAGATTGAAATTATTGTTAGACGATGTTTTTCTCTATAGTTGCGTTACACGCTTTTCTTTCTACCGGAAGTCTTCATCTCAAGTCCTCAAGTTTTTTTTGTCACATATCGAACGACCAATATGAATAATACATAGTGTAATATAATCTCATTATTATTATATTAATATTAAACATTAATCGACATTTTTATAGTACATAATTTAATTTTCATAATAGTTTATAATGTAATAATTATATTGATAAAGAATTTCATCGGTGTAAATGTTTTGCAGAACACCCATATTAAATTTTTCTTATAATTATAATTTCTAATACTTATATGGATTATATTTAAATCCACGAAACTCGTACTTCTTGTTAAAATTCAAAATACTTGAAATAAATCGAAAAGTCCTAAACAATTACAATTTTATTCACAATTCACATTACATTTAATTTTGATGAATACAAACGGTTTTTCCTACAGACATAATAGTTAAGACACTTTAGTTTTGAAAATGTTTATTACATTCTCTTTAAATTAACCAAGTATTTAATTTAAAAAAAAAAATAATAAATTATGTTAAATTGCTTTGAGGTGTAATCGATTATTTGTACTGAAAAGTTTTAATTAAATGTTTGTCTTTTATTTATGTTTTGAAACTTTTAAATAATTGTAAGAAATAGCTTTGAAGTTCTAGAGGAAGTTTTAAACTAATAATTACTTTTTAATGCAGTTTTTTAGTGTTGGTAATAGGTATTTTGCAATTAAATCATAAACCAATTCAAATTAAAATCTTTAGTGATGTGTATTTTGATGAAATTAACCATAACGTATTTTTAATTTTAATAAAACTTTAAAGGTAGCATATAATTTTTTATATATTTTTCAATGTTTTTATTTAATTCTCTTTGATTAAAAAATAAAAATGAGTTATTATTTAATAGTAGCTGGATTTAAGTTTAATTTATTCATAATAAATTATAAACAATCATAAAAATTATGTACATATATTATACTCATACTTGGAGAGTTAGAGTTTTTGTTAACTTCGAAATATTTTTATTATTTCATAATTGGTTATGGTTGACAATTATTTTAGAAATCATACGACTCTTATTATTACTGACATAATAACCAACTTAATCACTAAAACAAGAATACCTGAATTTTCTTTGAATTAGAACAAACCATCAAAAACCTATAGTTAAAGATAATGTAATTTTTGGATAGTTTTTAAGTTTTTATAATATATTTTTAAATCTGTTTGAAAACAACTCATCTAATGTATCAACTAGTAGACAATTCATATATTAAATTATTCACATTTACTTCTAAGGAAAAAGAAAAATAGGAAAAACAACTTACTAAATTTGTAAATCTAATAATACTCGTACTTGTCTCGTAGATAATTTACATTACTGTAATATTTACATTATAAACGTTTAATTTTTTAGTATATTTATTTTAACAAGATTATGTCTGATAAATACAATTTGATTTAAATGATTTACCTTCCTTAAACTGGGCTTGGATCCAAAGCCAATGACCAACTTGTAAGTAAAATTTTAATGTTAGCAGTTAATATTAGAATACGAATATTGTAAATATAACATAATATTTAATTTTAAACTGTATCAAATATTTGAAAATAATATGTACTTTTGGAAATATATCATAAACGATTTAATAAATATCACGAATATTTTTATATTTATGTTTACAGGTTACATCTGAAAATTTTAACATTGACTTACATGCATGTAATATTTTATTGCGCTAAATTATGAAAACTGGAAATCTTGTTACTGATTTTTCATACAATCTGTGTAAATTATTTTTAATTTGTATTTTAATTTTGTTTCTAGATATTTATCTGAATGACACTCTGTAAAGACAAGGTTCTGATTCGGACGGTGAGTTTAATTGCGATGAAAATGCATGATTTTATTATAATTAAATTTTCGGTTAACTATAAGCATATTGCTAGTTCTATTGTCATGTTGTATTTCTGATGCCGATTAATATACCTACGCTTAAATATAAATTTACATTGTATGGTTTCATTAGCCCGTCTGTTTATCTAAGCAAGGCTGATTGATAACCTTGACAAAGGGTATTGAAATATACTTTGCTCAGTTCAATTTACTCATTACTTTTTGATTTTATACGAATCAATGATAATCCATTGACTTCATTCATGAGCCATTGAAGTTGTACGTGTTACGCAAAACTGCACAACAGTGATACAATTGACCCTGTATTTTATCGTATATTACATTAGATATCTATTTTTAATTTTATTCATAACTTATGTATTCGATATTCAATGTGTTAATTTTGGTCTAGTTATGAATAGTGTTCGTTTGATAATTCAAACAGTATTTGGAGCACATAGGGTATACTATTATTGTTTTATAATTTTAACGAAAAAAAACCTTAAAATTAAATAGGAATGTAAGACGCTATATACTTCATACGTAAATTTTAACATAGCGTTTAGTAAAAGTTTTCAATTATAATTTCGAGTAAAATGATTTACTTTTAATGATTTTGATTTGAACTATTTGTAATACTGATAAATATGCATTATATACGTACACGGGAATATAAATTTAAAATTATTTTTTAATTACGATAACAATTTATTATTCAATTTAAAATCAAACAACCAGATTTATTGTACTATTTAGTATGTAAAAAATTTAAATTATGTTGCACTCGAAGCTCAACTTAAAAAAGCATTATGTAAGTGCGGTTTTGGTACGGTTACACATACTTACATATTATCTTGCAGAACACTTAACGGGATAAAGATTACGTACTTGGTTTTAATTTTCTCGCACGCAGTAATGTATTGTTTTTGCATAGCTACTCAGCCGTTGAACCAAACTTAACATCTCTATTCGCATAATGGAATTGAATGCGTATCAGAAAAATTGTAAAATATAATATTTGATAACTTAAATTTTCGTTTTATTTATTTTCCGCATATTTAAAAACTAATAAGTTCTACGATTAAATTGCTGCTAGGAAGAACGTATTGCATGATGGTTCGTTGGAATTTAGTATTGAATAGTATAACTTGCAACAACTTACGTAATCTAATTATTGAATAATTTTATTGTTTCTCTTGGTGTTTCCCTATAGCTAAACAATTTTACTCGACATAAAGATTTATATTCTTAGAGATATATAGCTTGTTTAGTGGTACGGAAAGAGTCATGGTTATGAAGAGAGAAACCCGGGGGGTTGAGAGGTAGTATATTGGAAGCCTTACAGGGAATAATAAACTCCTTCAAATGTAGGTAATGTCCTATGTGGAAATAGTGTTAAATCCTATATAAGATAGTATGAACTCCTATACTAAGGCTAAAAAAAGCTTTACTACTAAAATGAAAATAAATAAATTTGGTTATAACACATTTTTTTATGATCCAAAAAGAAAAAAATCAGTTCTATTATTATAAATATAAGAAAAAGCTTAAGTATAAGTAAATTATGTTATGATACATATTTTTTTTTTATGCAAAAAGAATTTAAAGTTATTTAATACTAAAAGCTTTTTACCATTTTGAATGTATATAAAATCCATTGTAATTATTATTTTATTATTATTTTACAAAAATATTACTGATTCCAACGATGTACGCAGAAAATACACGGTTTATTCGGAGTATTTTTGTATTTTTGTACTTAATTGAATGTTCGAGAATCTTCGATATAACCCTAACAAAATATATATAATACGTGAAATTCCCAGGTGTTTGTACAAGTATACATTTTTAGTGCAGTGATTAAATTGTTTATTATGAATACACAGTAATGTCCATCGTGTATATAACGAACAACGAAACGGATACAATTAATTTTATAAAATATTAGTACAATGCATATTACACCAGCTCGATAATGAGAGAGCGTCGTATTATGTGACAGACTATTTTTAAGTATATGGCGTTTATGTCATGTAGCTTTAACTCCTATCTAAAAAAAAATTCTATGTAAGAGTGTACACTGTATTTTATTAGCAGGTTAGGATCTGTGTAGGAGATTACAATATGTTTTAAATTCAGGTTAAAATTCATTCATGTAGGAGTTTTCATGCAACCTTATTTTGTGCAGTACATCATTAATTTTTTCTGGTAATTAATTGTTAGGAATGTAGTATTGCAATAGGTTTAAATGGTGTATAATAGATCATTTTAAATAACCATTGGAAAAAAATAGGTAAATCAATTATTTACAAAAATTATATATTTCATTATTTTGAATTATTTTTTATTTGTTTTGTGTTTAATATATATTTATAAGCAATATGTAATATATTATAAAATAATTCCAAATGACGAGTCAACGACTAATTGAAAATCGATCTGCTTTACAAACGCTGATTGTAAGCAAATGTTTGTAAATCCAATCCCGAAACTCTTGTTTGTATAGGACATGCTTGCGCCGAATTTTATATTATATTTGCATTTCTGTAAACACTGGTTATTATTGCAATATGATTATCATATCCCTAAATATCTTTATGATTATAAATTTGTGTTTATTAAATACAGATTATTATTACAATCGCCAAATATTTTCATAATTATCTTTCTTATTATAAATTTACGTTTATATATATATATATGCAGATTATTATTAAAATTTGACTATTATCCAATTGTTATTAATATTATTTTTATTACTTAATCAATGTTGCGTTTATCGATAGTGCCATAAATAAACGCGGATCATAAATAAAATGTATTCTTATTATAAAATTTACATTTACCTAAACGGATTATTAATATTGTTCTTATCATTTCAATTTAATATTTTAATTTACTTCTCGATAGCGCCAATCCAGTGGGTATAAAAACCCCGGTAACTTGACGAAATTTACCATTCACCTTCTTTCCGAAATCGGAATAAGACCTACCCGATGCGACTTGCACGACTAGAAAGAAGGTTTCCCCCTAAAATTGATCGAGTGGTTTTGCGAACCGAGCAATAGTGCTATAATTGGAGTAATTCTGGCATTGCACCGTGTGTCAAACCCGTTTTCTATCATTACGATATGGTATGATAAATATTTCTTGTAATTCTATTTTTTTTTTTTTTTTAAGTACTTGCTGTCATTACGACAGTTTTATCATAAATAATAATTATTATATTTATGGTTAGTTTCGTCAACAGGACAGGATCGATCATCGTTGATTAATGACAGATTTTTATTTTTAAAAGTCCGTTGATGCACTACTGACTAAAACAGAATATGCGCAGGGTTATACATTTTTTTGGGAAAAGTGCACCTAATACCTAAACTTTTTAGAGTAAATTCACATGAAATTAGAATTATATAAAAAAAAAAAATTTAAAAAGCATACTTACTTTCGTCTAGTTAAAATTAAAAACAATCATTGACATAATATTTAAGATCCTTAAACTTACTTACACAGTGGAGATCGTATCGATATTTGCTTACTAAACAACCGTCGAATTAAAATGCATTCCACGTAAGTGCACCAACAATAACACTAAAAATAGAAAAAAATAAATTTAGATAATATTTTGTATAGTCCATTTAATACTGAGTACGATAATTGTGCAACATTTTTATGGATTCTAGTTTATATTACAACTACATAAATGTTTTTCTCGTTATTGTGTAAAACAGACAAAAGAACTATTTAGTCCTACAGAAATATATACTTAAGATCATAACATTAATGTAATATTAATAATGTTTTTAGATATTATCAGCTGTGGTTAGTCTGAAAAAAACGATGCAAACATAGGTAACCATGCAAAACGTTTTTAACGTTGTTACAAAAATGCTTGATTGTTTGTTTAATATGTGTACGAAATCTTAGGTGTAATAGATTAATTCTTATTCTTATTAAGCTGTTATCGTTTTTAAAATGATTATTCGATAAAGATTTTTATACATGATCCCTACACGACGTTTGTGAATCATATTTCTTTAATCAATTGTGTTAAATATTTTTATATATATTTTATCTATTTATTTATAAATATAATGATTAAATGAATGACCTCAAATTAATCGAAGTTATTTGCTTAAAATACTCATTTTTTTGATATTTTTCATGAACGACAATAATTTATTATGGTATCGACTTAATTGTTGCGCAAAACCATATAAATACATTTCACACAGCAAATAAATTTCTGTAAAACATAATTATAATTTATCGTTTTCGAAATATTTTAGTTTTAAAATTTTATAATGATTTTAATGACTTTAATTAACTATTTACATGAATACCAATGATCTGTAATTATAAAAATCAAAAAAATTAAATTAATTTTTTATATTAATAGCTACATGACGTAATATTTGGTGTTATATTTTTTCAGTAAGAAGAGAGGAGTGCAATGTCTCCACTTGATAAGCGAATGACGAGCTTTTAAACATTTGCGTTGGTTATTACACGTCATGACTAGACACGTACACAAAAAAGTATTTTGGGGGTAGGTTTAAGTGGTACATTTTTATACTTATATAATAAATGTACCACTTTTACTCTATAAAAACATATTTAATCATTTCCCTAATACTCTTCTTTGAGTACGCACTTGGCTGTGATGATACACATAAATTTAGTCAGTGTAGGCTCGTTTCATATGAGCTTCGTATAAGTATATAATATACTTACGAGTATAGTCTTCGTAGTACAATTTACATATTACTACTTAGTATGTAACTAGTTCATCCATATTACATTTTGAATGGATAAAGCAATAAAAATATATTCAATAGTAGTACCTAATATATAAATACCAGCCTATAAGAACGGATAATTTATTTATATTATTTTTATAAACTTGGTTAATTAAAATTTTAAATGTTTCTGCAGTAACATTATTAACTGGCTGTATACATAAATATGCATAATATGCATGTTTGAATATAATATTGGGACGTGGCATGTTTTAAATTGATATAACAATGATTTTGTACTATGCATTTATAATATTAATACATATTATTTTTTAATTAATAAAAACAGTCTTAAATGATTAATACGTATTGATTTTGAAGAATCTAAAACCGTTTTGTAGTAAGAAAATAATAACTGATTTTTATAGGAGTACATAAATTTTCAGTTTTATTTGAGAACGATTATAAGTGAATATAAATGTATGACTTTCTTATCTATTTTAATATCATATTTAGAATAAGAAATTAAAATACCACAAATATTCATAATCTGAGTTCTCTCTTTAATATTTTTCTTTTTACTTTAATCTAATAATTTTAATTAACAAATAACTGTTAATTTAATTATTTATTCGTTTAATTTAAAACAAATAATAAAGCGTTTAAATCATTAGAAATTATTTTTATAAATTATAAATGATATTAGGGCCTTTTTCGAAAGATATTTTACTACTTTATATTATAGAGTAACCGTTATAACTGCGAATCCAAAAAAGCGAATGTCAAAATAGCGACGGCAAAATAGCTAAAAGCCATAATAGTGAATGTTCAAAACAGCTAAAGTATATTATTTTAAAAAAAATTTAATGTAAAAAATAAAAATATATTAAGTATTTAAAAAGTGTATTATTTCAAAAAAAAAAAAAAGATATTAAATTATATTTATAATTTATACTTGTAGTGATACATTTTTTTTTTATTGGGTTTTGTCCGCTTATATATTGTTCTACTTTCATTTCTGTGTTAGTCTGTTCTTGTTTGAACCCTTCTATGAGTTTCCAAAGTGTTGAGTGACATGATCCAAGTAAATGATTAAAACCACGATTCCAACCTATATAATATGTAAAAATCTATTAAACATACTTAATATATTTTAAATATATTTATTTGAAAATATTAATTACCTTCGACAGAATTATTAGTCTTTGGCAAGTCTATCGAGTCATAACAATTCAATTTCCAAAGGAAATGTTGGACCTCTACGTCATTTGCGTACAGTCTTTCCAAGCCAAGTATCTTCAAAGTAGTCCAATAGTGGTTGAAAAAGTTCTTCGTGTTCTATGTAATAATCACTTTAACATAAGTGATCAAAACTTACTATTACGTCAGATACTGGTATATAAGTATGTGATGGTAACAATTGTATTTGAATACAAAATTCTGCATCAGTTAGATATTTTTCGTGGATTGTGGGTATCAATTGTATTTTTCGCCATACACATTGACTTAAGTGAAAGTGGCAACCACGAGAAATTATATTGGGAAAATTTTTCTTAAATTCCAATATCGCACTTTGTTCAAAGTCAGTCATAATAGTCTTAGGATTTAATGGTATATGCGATTTTAGTGTTTTGATTAAATAAAAATATGTTGCAGTACTTTTATCAGGTAATAATGCAAAAACTATTGGTATTACAGTATTATATTTCAATACGTGAAATGTGTATATTTGAATATATATTATTATATAATATATAATAAATATTTGTATATATGAATATAGAAGGAGCGCTCTTAAATGTACCGCCGGCAAACCAATGTTCAGATTCAGACATTAACTTTAACCCTTAACTTGTACAAAATATTGAAATTCTATTTTTTGTAGGACCGTTAATTTCGTAATTATCAAACAACAAAAACTTACTTCCATTGTTTGTTTGTTTATACATGTCTGGTATTTTTCCTAAATCTTTCAAAGTTAGTGGATTAGGTGGAGAGCGTTGATTACGTTGCCTAGTTCGCCGAATAATTCTTTTAAGATTTGATACACTTGTGAGATTGCCTTGAATGACATTTGATGACGCCGTTATTACAATATCACTAATAATTTTACTTGGATTGTGTTGAGTAGTTAAAGCACTTTTTTCATTACTTCAGTTAATTTTTTGACTTCGATTTTAGCTGGATTGGGGACATGTACATGTTTGAATGAAGAATCTTTAATAACCAAATAATTTCTAAATGTTAATTCTATCACGACATTTTTCAACTTTCGCACATTTCCAGTATGAAACTTCGCCGTTTTTACAATCCTTCCGATACAAAAACCCATTGTATTTAACGAGTGGTTTATTTTTTTGTGAAATTAAATATTCGATATTTTTAAACAACATATGTGAAACTATATAATATACTAAGTATGCAACTGCGATACTGAGCGGTTAAACATACACTGTAGGGATGGGCATGGAATCCGAATATCTGAATTATTCGAATATCCGGTTAACCAAATCCGGATTTGAATCAAATTCTTATCCGGATATCCCGAATTATCCGGATTTATGAATTTGCTTTTTATGTGACTTCAGACTTTCAAATATTTTTAATGTATGGTAAAATAAATTATTTTATTATAATGAAAATTTAACAAAATTTTATATTATTAAAATATTATTAGTATATAAAAATGAGTCATTGAACAGCAAAATCGAGTTGAATAATCCGGATATTCCGGATAATCCGTGAAATCCGGATTTACTAAATCCGGATTTGACAAATCCGAATAATTCGGATTTTTGAAATCCGGTTATGTTCACCACTAATACACTGTCGCTGTCGAATATTATGCTTATATCTAATCGACCTATTTTATTAGATATTATATCTGGTCCAACCGGACAATAATATTGGATAACCCAGCTATACAACTGATTGTCATTATCTGCATCTTTATAACGTAATATTATTACTACAGATAAATAATAAGAGTAATAATTTTAAAATAATATACTTTAGCTGTTTTGAACATTCGCTATTATGGCTTTTAGCTATTTTATACTTAGCTATTTTGCCTTCCCTATTTTGATACTCGCTTTTTTGGATTCACGGTTGAGACGAGTTACCATATTATAGCAACAATATTTGAATAAAAAAAAAAAAAAAATAAATAAATAAAAATATTGAATAGATATACAAAATCATTATATTTATTTATTAATTTACATGCATAGTGGATTCCGTTTAATGTGGACACGATTGGACCAAACCTATTACTACATTTAGCGGTTAGCCGTATAAAACCAACTAAGTTAAAAATACCCATATTTTTAATATCGAATAATTTTATTTTGCACACGTAAGCCATAAAATTATAAAAAATGTTAAATTTATGTAAAATGTAAAATAAACTAATATATAAATAATATATATATATATATATAAAATAATAATGAATAGTATAATCTCGGGATGCATAATTTTTTAACAGGTTTACGTTTTTAAGTGTTTAAAGAAAGATACTTCACTTTGACCAAAATCGTGATTATTTCCTTGAGGAAAAGATCTTTTTGAAATAGTCGAAAACTTTCATGATCGTATGAAATTCAAGGAAAAACTTAAATTATTGTTGCCAAGCTAAAGAAAGAAAGCTACAAGTTAATCGCTTTATTTTCTTTTTTCTTTTTATTTTGTATTGCTCTCGATATCAGTCCTATACATTAAATTAACAAAATCCTATTAAGGCTTAAAATGTATTGATTTTTATTACTTTTTATAAACACAATATCATAGATAAGATGGAACCCAATTGTATTTGTTGTCAATACATATTATAACGTTACGATAAAATAAATATGGCCAGTATAAACCTAATTGAGTGCTCATATTATGTGGGTTTTTTTATCTTGTTAGTCTACATTGAATTTGGAACCAGACTATTTTGTCATATTACTCGGATGCCCATATTAACCGGTTACCAAATTTGGTAGAATCCATTATAAATCAAATTAAATAATATAAAATATATCCTAGATAACTCAAACGTGATAAAATGTATAAATTCAGCCCAGAATTCAAAACGGTTTCGACCTTTTAAAATTTGACTTTCGATCAATCCTTTCTTAAAGCAATATAATAAGTATAATAATAGTTAGAATATACCCTAACAATATACGTATATAATATATAAAACAGTAATGAATTTTTCGAGATAAGATTATCAATATTCTGCGTTGTTTTAGGCGCTGTAATCTCACTTTGAACTTTTGAAGTGGTCGTTTTCAAATACTGAGGATTTACAATATGTTCACTTCTTCCTCAAGTTTTTTTTAATAAGAAAATAAGTACATCGTTGTAGTCAAATGTACATTTATAAATTCATAACTTTGTCGATAGTATTCTACTGAGTGTATACAAAACATATTCTCTGAATTAACGTTTAAAGCTTTCATAAAAACAAATGATATAATTTATTATATGTGTAAATATTTCATTTGTAGCTTAAAAAAAACATATTATACTAATTAGCCCACTCGATTAGACGATTACTAACTCACACGCACGCACACGTCGTGTTTGATATTTTGATAAAATCAAATTTATGGCAGGCGACGTATTTATAATAATAATTCTTGAATAATCCATACTCTAGCATAACATATCGTTACTTATGATCCGGCTACAACAATAGTTACTTAGTACGCGACAGGATATCTGTAATGCGTTTTGCGTGTACTTTTAATAAGAATTCAGCGTGCTCATGAATTTTTTTTTTCTATGTCTGCAGGAGGTATGGTCCGAGGTCATGTGGCTTTGTGCATAGCGACGCTTGCGACGTTTGTGCGGTCAGGCACTGCGGGCATTCTCGAATGGGGACGATCCAACCACATAGAGGTCAACATACCCTGGTTACCATGTAAGTTTTGGGTGAACACCGTAGAAAATGATAGAAACAGTTTATCTGTGTTTACTAAATTGTGAAAGGAACGCGTGAGCATTCCGCTTGAGTTTTATTTGCCACGTTTCAAGCAACGATTTACAATATTTTTATTTTCTCCAATCAATCCAAAGGTTAGTTGATGTTTCTTTCCTTTTTTCCATGTCGCTTCTAGCTCTGTCAAGCACCCGTATGTTTTCATTACAATGTTTTTTAATTCTAGTTTCACGAAGAGTGTTTTAGGTTTCCTCCGGCTAACCGTCTATTTTACTTTCTATTAAAGCGATGATCCAAAAACTATACCTTCTATGACTATACTATAATTATCATATAATGAACGAATTTGGGTATCTCTGTTTATACCGAAGAAGTTACGGTGTTTGAATGAAAAATATGGAATTCGTTGTTTTTTAAAAGTAACTTTAGAAAAATTATACTAAAATAGATCCAAGAAATAAAAAAATACTAGAAAAACTACTTTTGTGTATTGTGAAAATAGCTATAAAATATATATGTATTAACTATACTATATTATAATATTTTTGTTGTAAAACGAAAGTGTGTGCTTATTTCAATATTTCGAAGACATGCGTGTTTTTTGCAGATAATTTAATTTTCAAATTCGTGATATATATACGATAGTATTATATATTGTATATTATAAATATATGTATATTATATATTGTAAACTATCGCTACAGCTTACTATATTGAAGAATTGTTTGAATTGGTAGTATATTTTTCATAAAACGAATGCCACATGTTGCCATATTATATCGTATTGGTCTGTATATAATTTTTTTAACAACGAATATTCGACTTGGAAAAAAATACAGTTTATGAAGATAAATCAAATTACCTTATACATCATACTTGGTCGGTGAATATTATAATATATAGCTGTACGCAATTTTTATCTTAGAGTCTTGAAGCTAAGATCGAAACGATCTCGTCCAATACCAAATAACACTTTTGTTCCAATTTTTTTTATTTAAATATTTGTATAGTATTAATTAGTTTGAATTTTATGAGCTATTAAAATATGTCCAATTCAGAATTTCAGTTTTATTAGAGCGTCTAAATATTTTCTAAACACAATATGCTAAACGTTAATTTTTGTTGAAAATGATTGTATAATTTGTACTAAATATGTTTTTATTAGTTAGTTAATGAAAAAAAAAATGTTTATATATTTATAGACGTCACGATGATTCGTGAAAAGTGATCTCTGGTTTTATGTTTAAAATAAATACATTTCATAAAATGGGTGATTTAAAAATTAAATTAAGTATGTTTTGAGGTCAGAAACCTACAAGCAATTAAAATGCATTATTAAAATATCTACTTTAATTTTTTTTTCTTTTTACTCTGTTGTTTAATCGTTCTCTTGTGATATGCAAGTACTTGTAGTTTAGTAAATTTTATTTTATCGGGAACGCAACCATAAGAGAAAGACAATGCATGTTCGTCTTTCAGTTTTATTTTTCATGGGAAAGTATTTTAGTTATTTGTTACTAGTTGAAACACGCGTTAAAAAAATATATTTAAATATATTATTACTTTTTTAATGTACACTCGTATTTCTTCATCATTTTAGTTTATTTTTTATTTTAAAATAATTTCAAGAAACTTTTACGAGCTAAAGATAATGCGAGTATAATTTTGAACAATTTATAAAATGTTGCCTTTAATAATTTTTATATGTAATCGAGAACATTTTTTTCGTCAAAAAGTAATTACATTTTAAAGAATATTGAACGCAACGAACTATAATATATTATAATAGGTCAACTATTTATAAGCGTGTATTTAGTACTATGTACATTTATAATAATTTACAATATTCTTTATAAAATATAATAGTCTAATTGTTCTTACGTTCAAATTTTTAGTTGAAAACGAGACAAGATGTTACGACGAACTAGGATGTTTGAATATCACACGAGATTGGTATCATCTCATTTATCGGCCGTTCAACGTGTTTCCATTAGCGAGACAAGTCATCGACACTCGATTTATTCTATACACAAGAAAAAATCCTTTGCAGGTAATCATATAAAAGTACTCTAAAATACATTATAAACATAAATGTGTAGGTTTCGTAAATGTCGTGTTGTATTTAAAATATTTATGGTTTTAAATTATATATATTCTAACAAGTGCAATATGATTATTGGTTGATCATTTATTTGACTGCTGTTCGCAGTTAATTTTATAAATAAATAAAAAGTACTTATTCAATAATTATGAAATAGCTTATTAAATAATTACTATTTATTATAATTAAATCTAATCAAATTCAAAATTCAATTATTTGAAAATTAATCATTTACAATGAGCATCGATTGATGTAATGTTTATATATGATAACTCATTGAAATTGTATAATAATAGTTATAGGAAGTTATATTTTCAACAATTAAAAAATAAAATATGGTTTATAAAACCAGTAGGTACGTATATTTCAACATAAGTGTATTATTCTTGTTAATTGTTTTTCTCTTTCCTTTCACCAAAGTGTTACGATTACACACGTATATTTTATGTTGCTTATCATACAAATTATAAAATAAATTATATCTAAGTTTTCATTTTCATCACTAAATAATTACTTTTTTTAAAGAGAAATATTTAAATCAACAGGAAATTCTTTTGAATTGTTTTTTATAAACATCAAAAATAATAAGTAGAATTTAAATGATGATTTAAACGTGATTATTTATAATTTATTTATAGTCATTACACTCAAGTCACAATTAGTTAGAAAAAAAAAACAATTTCTGTTTATACTGTGGAGAAATGTTGAATATTTCAGTGTTATAAATTTGAGATATTTACAACGTTTGTTTTTCTATAAATATTTATTTATTATTTTTCTCTTCTAGTCCCATATAAAATAAACAAAACGGGATGTATTTATTTATCCATTTACGTTGTTGCATAAAATAAAAATTTATTAAAATAATATTATTGTATCAAAAACTATATATAATTATTAGCTAGAATATAAAAATATATTTTTTTGTTCAACCAATAATAGAATATATAATAAAAAAAAATTACTTTGCCTACAGTTATGTTTATAAACTCTACAGTCGATTAATTTATTATTATTTGTCACTAATTTGCATTATTATTAAATAGTGTTTCATATTTTCATTACATAAAGGAATGTTTCCTCGTTAACTAATTTCAGATATCTGTATTCCATAGAATCGTATTGAATACACGACGGTAATAATTAAATTAAACTACTGTTTTCGAGGTTCCATAATAGTTGTCATGGTGATTTAAAGTAATGCTAACAGAAACGAAAAAAAATATTAATATCAAAACGTTTGGCAATACCATTCTGCGTAGCGTTTACAATATTAAACGTAATATACTCGTATTATATGGTATTACTATTATATTCATAAATTGATTACATTTTATATTAATCTGATATCACACTATACAATGTTATGTACGCGTAAATACTCGTATTTATTAACACATGTGGTCCTGATTTGCTAACCATATTAATTTGAATTACATGTTCATTAACGTTACGCACGTTTCACTATAGGGAATACACTATTAAATCGTATAATACACGTAGGAACCATCTATTATTGCAGGATGTTCCTTACTTATTTATATGTTATGTCCAACATACTAAATACTCTCATTCTTAGTTCTAAATGTGTCCTTCTTTGGTCGGCTTTAGCAATAGTAATAATTAGGGCCTCCACAAGGAAGGGAGGCTGATAAAATTTGAGTACAGGGGCCCAGCTATTTTAAGGGCTCGTTGGCCCGTTGAAATTTATTTGTAATTTTTGAAATTTTAGTAGAAATACTTATTTTACAATAAATAATATTGTAAAATAATATTTTATATATATATTTAGTTATTTTGATAGTTCAAAATGCGGTTTAACCAATGATTACCTAGAAATGAATGAATTGGCTTCGGCAGTAAATTTTGATGATATCATTACTGAGTTTGCTGAGCCCAAAGCCCGCGAAATAAAATTTTAACCTAAAAAAAATGTATTAAATATAAATTAAAATGTACTTGTTTTTTTCTTTCTTAATTTAAATAATATTGTAATAAAAAAACTAAAATAGATATTATTCATGTTGAAATGCTTATGAATCTTGAACTTGAATTGGTATAACGATAACACAAATATTATTCCTAAAATTGTTATGTATATATATATAAATAGTAAATTGTATTTTTGGAAGTTTTATAAAGGGCCCGCACCAACATTTAGTATAGGGGCCCGAAATTGTATATGGGGGGCCCTGGTAATTACTATTACAGTAAATAAAAATAGTAACAATGCCTGTGTTTGAGACGTTGATAATTCGTTTAATTATTGTTCGAGTTAGAGTGATAAAAAAAAATTATAATGTATGATTTCTATAGATGTTTATTTGATTTTATTTTAAAATTCGTGTCTAATTGAAAAATATATGCATAATACCAAAATTATTTCACTAAAACAGAAGAGTATTAGGGAAACTTAATGTTAATTTTTAAAATTTACATACCTCTAAATTAATATCAGCAATCATATGGCTTTCTTTGTAACATAATAATAATTAATATTTTAACTAAAATATGAGTTGTAAAATGTTCATCTGTCAATGTTTATAAATTTTGAATTTCAAGTTTTAAATTATTCTGTTGGAGAAAATATATTTTAAAAGTAAATTTCATGAAAATATAAGGATAAAAAATGATCTATAAGTAAATATAATTGTAATATTGTATGCCATAGTTAGCAATTTAATAATATTAATTAAACTGAAATAATAACTTTAGCCATTGGACGTTTCAAATAGCTAAAACAGGCGCTTAAAAAAAATTAGTCTAAACTGCAGATGAAATAAATCTCGACAAATTTCAAGAATGAAACCAGAAACTGATTGATTATGTAAATGTTTCGTTTTAGGGCCAGATGCTGAAAGTGCAGTCGGAGAAAACTATTCAAAAGTCCAATTTGGACCCTAAAAAGCCGACGAAGTTTATCATACACGGTTTCATCGACACGCCTCTGAGTAATTGGGTCAAGGTAAAAACAATAATACAATAGTAATAAAAATAATATCACTTTAATTTATTCGTAAAGCAATTAATTCCTATGATTTTCGAAAACAGTGCCACTATTTTTTTAATTTTTTTTTTTAATCACGTTTTATTGTTTAAAAAATAAAATATACTTCTGATTCCCGTTTAGGGGAAATAGATAATTGTGTTCAATAATGATTACGAAACGCAAATGATATAATATTATTATAACCTCGTAGTGGCGATAGCCCGTCCTTGAGACGGTAAAAAAAGCGGTCGATATTATTAAAATTTTCGTCCACAATAGTGCGACGAGTATTCGGATCATTGTGGCCAATATCGTTTGTGGGGGGATCTTTTTGATACGAGCCATAGTCGAAGATAAACATTTTAGTAAATTACCGTTCAAATTGTTTGATTATACCTTTTTTTTTTTTCCCCGTGTAGGAAATGAGAAGAGAACTGCTGAAACACTCCGATTGGAACGTCATAGTGGTCGACTGGGCGGGTGGGTCGTTACCTTTGTACACGCAGGCAACGGCCAACACACGACTCGTGGGACTGGAAATCGCCTACTTCATCAACTACTTAAAAGTAATGTAACGGATTCGATTTGGTAATATAACACTTGAACGAGCACAGTAGCTCCTATACTGTATGCTGTCGCCGATCCTTTTTAACACCGCACACCGATCGATTTTGTTTGTTTTATTGATTTATTTATTTATCTTAACATGATGTCACCTCTTGTCGACCGTTGTGGTTTGACCAAGCGAGAACGTATCTAGATTAGATAACGGTCACATAACGTAATATTGTTTTAACACCATATTACAAATGGTAACTGATACGAATACGATTTATCTAGACGAAGCACCCGGGGATTCATTCTTTTAACTTTTACACCTTTATATTATAAAAACACGGTTTTACTGAAATCTTTACGACCACGATTATTTTTTATTTTTATTTAGTTGTCTTTACCACGTTATCAATCAACAACATGTTTACAATAATTTTAATCTACCAATTATGATAAGACAATTACAGTCGTTTTTTGTTGACAGATAACTGTAAAGAAGTAGGTACCTATCGTTTGGCGTTTCATAGTAACCGTGGTTACTGATCAATAACGCGTTTTTAAACTTTTTTATCGATATGCTTTTGCAGAAATTAGTTATACGTTATAAATAACGTATATATTATTACAATGTTCGGTAGAGTCACATAGAGATGATAAAAATAAATTATTTGGAAACTTTTTCTTTTCATCGTGGATAATCTATATATTACCATTGGCCCGTTTAGAATTCTAGGTAATAAATTATAAGACAACAAAATTTTATTTCCAGATAAGTTTAAAATTTCGGTACTCTCGTGATTTCGTAGTGCATATAACATCAATCCGTCCATGGTTGTATTGGTTAAAGGATAATAATATACGAGTAAAATTAGTTTTTATTTATTTATACAAAGTGCTAGTGCTAAGTTGTTCGATTTTTATTTGGTTGGTACTCGATAGCTCTACACGGTTGTGTCAATCACACAAAAACGTAATACCAGTAATTTCACAGCTGTATGGATATGGCACATTATTCTGTAGCCTCGAAACAAATAAAATAGTGTGATGTACATGATTTTACTAATGTGAAATATGTATTACGTACTCGGGCGTTTCAAGAAATTGAATTATTATCTCGTGTTTAGTATGTTCTTTCACCCGTTCATCCGGGGTACGTTCAAACACTTTGGATTGCTAAAATTAATATAACAATATTAATATAATAAAATAACCCCTAAACCTAAATGGCGTAAAATATTTTGTTGCTAACAAATTAAAATTATAAATAACAATATTAAAGAAAATTGAGATAGATTTTCAATAAAAAATCTTTTATCATTTAATATGTATAATCAACATTAGATTTTTTTCTTTAAAAGTATAAACTTAAATAATACAATAAAATTATTGTAAATCGTTATTAATCTCACATCTGTGTGCATTGTATTATTTTAACATAATAATTAGTGTACATTCGTCTTAGTACAATACAATCTGAAAATCTCAATCATTCTCATAAGCGCAAAAATAATCCTCATTAAATTCAACTCAAAATAAACGGAGGGCACCAATTTATGCCTTTGGTGTGTGTTGTCACGGTTACCGATACCGTTGTCGATGTTAAACAGATATTCAATACCTTTATCTAAAAGTTTACTTTAATTATTAAGTATATCGTCATTTCGACGACATAACATTTATATTAAGTCTTTTATCATATTATGTTTGTCCGTATGCAATTATTATATTATTATGTACAGTTCCATATGATATATAGTAGGCCGTATTCGTCACATTTCGGTTTGGTTTAATACCAATTTGAACTCGTCAAATTTTACTTACCTATAGAATTTCAAATATTAATGGAGATTTTTATTTTTAATTCATGAATCAAAACGCACAAAAACTATCAACGTAAAGTTTACTTTTTCTAATACGTTATTTAATTTAATAATAAATCATTTGAAACATTTCAGAAGATCCATTTCGATTATTTTATCATATTTATTTATTAAAATCTTAAATCATTTCATTTGTACAATTTGGATTTAAAATAAGATAATGAAAGTTTGATAAAGTTGATTTCTTGCAACTGGTTATTGTAATCAATGTAATATATTACATATTTCAATGAGATACGGCCATTCGTGAAAATATAATGTCTATCTTATTCGGAAACTTAAAAATAATAACTACATAATATATGAGTGCTACAAAATTTAATAATTGTTTATGCACTGAATTACTACTGGTTTACAGAAAGTGTGAGAAGTGAAGAAATTATTTACGGACACGTACACGAATATTCGATTGAGAGTTGTTATGGACAAATAATAATGAATGCGTTGAAATAAAAACGTAGTGCAACTGAAATGTATATGTATTAATACGTGTTTTGAATATTAAATTAGACAGTTCATCCAAGGTTGTTTACCCCGAAAACCACGCTGTTTGTACATTATGTTTGTGTCTCATACGGATTCCAACGTATAACAAACAGTATACATCGCTTTTAATTATTTTTGTATTCTAAATCGCGTCGATAGTCATGGATATTTTTCGGCCCCGAGTATAATCCTATCGGGCTTTAAACGGATTTATTGCTTAAGCGTGTGCGAAACCGCAATATCTCATCTTGACGTTGATTTAATCGTCATGCGAATCGGTTCGTATCAGATTGTTCTTAAGTGACCCGGACTTGATTATCAAAACAGGAATTGGCGTTTCCGGCGTTTAGATCGGGTCGGACGACAGCGAATAATGACGTGGGTCTAAAGTGCGTTAAATCCATCCGCAAAATGAGATTAGAATGGGAGACTGAAATAAAAAAAAAAATATTTACAATAGAATACATATTATATGTACACAGTCAAGTTGCTACAGTTCCATTTGAATGTACCAGTAGAGAAACTTAAGTTAAAATAACAATCTAAAACGTAATTCGAACTGCCGAGAATTTTTCAACCAAACGGATTGCATATTGTCTAATAATATTTATCGAATTATCGATTTCATATAATTGCGCTAAACATTATATTTTTTAACAAAATTCGTCACTATAATGAATCGCTACTTATGTATATTAAATCCAATGAATAATTATCAAATAAATTATTAGCAATTATTTTCACAGTCTATTAGAAACTAAGGACTAATTTGTAGTCAACTAACATTGTTTAGATCCATTTAATTAATTCTTCTGTTAAAATCGTTTGTAATATTGTAAATTTTGATAAATAATGTTATAAATTAGTTAATGTTTGATGAAATTGTTATGGTATAGGCTATTGATAAAGATAATAAATTATCATTATTGAGATTATATTTTTTGTTGTTTTTATCAAGGCACGGGGAATATTGTCATTCCATTTTCCCTTGACCTTCTCTAAACCATCATAATTTATAGTGATGTTCTCTCCTTCTTTTGTTTTATTGAAGTGAATACGGGGATTTTTATATGTAAAATTAATAAACTACTTTACATTAAAAATGCACAAAAATGCATCATTTTTGACGACTCTATCTCGATTACTCTACGTTAATTCTTAACTGAAAACAATTCTGATCCGTGTAAAAACGTTTTTTATATTTATGCTTAAAAAGTGACTGCAGTGAACTATATATAATACTAATAAAACAATTACGTCGATTTTAATGGATATGCAACGTTCTAATCACTGTTTATTTCGTTATAGTATTGCATCGTATTGTTTTAGTATTTTTTTTCTTATTGTCTGTTTTCCATTTATTTGCCTCGTGTTAGGATAACGTGGGCTTAAATCCGAAACATGTTCATCTGATAGGACACAGTCTGGGCGCTCACACCGCCGGTTACGCCGGCGAACGGATCGAAGGGCTGGGCCGAATCACCGGGCTGGATCCGGCCGAACCGTACTTTCAAGGGATGCCCTCGCACGCCAGATTGGACCCCACTGACGCACAACTGGTGGATGTCATACACACCGACGGATCGTCCATATTTCTATTGGGTAAGCGTTGCGTGCAATAATATTACTAAGATAATATTGTATAATGAATTAACCGAATTCGAATAATTGTGCTGTCGACAACGGAGACGGTAAATGTAAAGATTCGTATTAGGTTTCACAAAAATATATAGCTCGTAAAGATAAATAAATCATTTATTTTGTTCCCACAAGTCAAGAAAAAGTGGTTGTCCGTCTAGTGACAATTTTTGTTGGAGTCCGGAACAATAAGACATTAAATAAAGTTAAAAGAAAATAATATTTTATATTATTTACTAATTATTAATAAAATGTTTTTTTTTCAATAACTAACTACATTAATTAGAATAAACCGAGCGATAAGTCCGTGTACGATATGTTTAATAAAATATTAAACTTTTTCATTAATAATTATAAAATTCATTTGAAAAATGTAATTAAGGTATTATAAAGTAAGATATGCGTTAACGGTCGTTGCCTTCTACGATCAGTTGCTGATCGTTAGTCTAATGTATAATCCTTCTCTCTACGTGGTGTATTTATACATGCATCTATATCGTATATTACATTCTTTTTCGGAAATAATGTTTGCAATAAGATTTTTCATATTTTTTTTTTCGTCTTACTAACAGTGTTAAAATTGAAGATGATTAGGTTTCAGACCCTGATTCGGTTTCGAATATCATTATAACTCCGAGGTGACTGGTGTTGTATTATTGGTTAACCGCATATAATATACAGCAAATGCTATAAACATTTATGACGGGATGGTATTTTCAGATTTATATGGATCAAGAAAATTAAATGTCCTTGGTATGGCTCTTTTATATACATCCACAACAATTATTATTTTACGCTATTTCGCTTTGCTCAATTCAGTAAAAAACTCAGTGAATTGAACCGTGGGGTACCCGATAAATGAGTTCAAATGTAGTCAACGTCGCCATTGTGAAGCAATGCCATAGCAATCGCTGAACAACAATCTCTCAATGACAATTAATTTATGTTTGTAAATTCGGTTGCTCTATATTATGCCATATTGTGTTTTGATTATTGATGATTTAATTAAATAATAATCCGTGGCTAATACGGCTTATTCAAATTATAGTACCTGCTAATTAAAAGTAAAACGCGCATTGTTTCGAAACGTATTAATCATTTGGTACGAATTATCAATTTTTCTAGTTTGAAGATAATTAAAATTAGAGAATAATTGTATGTCCTTAGATAGTTTGTAAATTAATTGTATGTTTCCTATTATATTATGCATTTCCGTGTATAAACCATTCGGAATAATAAAAATCTTCCATTTTTACTGACTTACGAAAATTACTTTAAAATATGTAATATATTTTATAATTTAAATTTTTTATTGGTTTGGTTGATTTGTTAGTTTTATTAAAATAAATTATATTAAAAGAAAATTATTTTTATTTATCAATGCTACGTACGATAACGAAATATTATGCGAAATAAACGGGCCAACCGGTTGGCATGCTGGTATATTAAACATTATATGTTAACTAGGAAATTAACTGCTAGAATAGGGCTATTATTCCTTTATGCTATTGTTATAAAATGTATTTAATCTGTCTCTTAAACTCGGTTGAATACAGCAAACCTAAATTATATTTATTTACATTAGGCTATGGGATGAGCGAGCCATGTGGTCATATAGACTTTTATCCAAATAACGGTAAAGAACAGCCTGGATGCGATCTAACGGAAACCCCATTACCTTTAACTCTCATCAAAGAAGGAATTGAAGAAGCAAGTCGCGTTTTAGTTGCTTGTAATCACGTAAGAGCCATCAAACTTTTCATTGAGTCCATAAACTCAAACTGCCCATATATTGCACATAAATGCAACTCGTATCAAAACTTTTTACAGGTAATTAACATTTTAATATGATAAATAGTTTTATACAGTTTTAGAATGAAAATAATTATGTGGTTTATAATCGACTGATTGGTATTCATATTCAAGCCAAATTATTGAATTTAATTATATTTATTAAATTGCATAAACATATAATTAATTAATTTAGTGTATCTTAACACTCTTTGAGAGTTAATTTAGTACAAAGAATATAGTATATAATAACATTGAAGTACATATACTGTTTTTAAAATTAATAATATTATTTTTGGTCAAACATTAAATACTAAATAATACTTAGTTTTATAATTATATGTGCACATATTTTTAGTTTATTGAGGCTATAAAGCAAAAAACATCTAATTTTTGTATTATTTTTAAATCGAAAATCAATGTTTTTTTTTTTTTTTAAAAACTGATCAAGTTTAGAACCGTTTTCGTTTTAATCGTCTAAAATCATACACATTTTAATTGCATTATGTAATCGAACAATTTACACATCGCTAAAATAATAATTTACATAATTTTAAATGAAAAATGTTCAACACTAGGATTTTGTTCTTGGATCACGAAATGCGTATGCAGTAACAAACTGCATACGCAATAAACGATAACAGATTTCAATGCACCATTAAGCGATCAATCTGCATGAGTCGAATACTTAAAACTACGTATTAGTATCAACGAAGTGAGATTTACGATGAATGCCAATTTCCAACCTTCATTAAATATAGTTTAAATTTATTTTCTAGCCTCGCTAACTTAACGCGCTCCCGTTCAGAGTTTAATCATCACTGTGTTTCAGGGTAAATGTTTCTCATGCAAAGAAAACGACACTGGGTGTGCCATAATGGGCTTAAACACGGTGAGACCAAACCACGCACCGGGTGCTAAGTATTTCATTTCCACCGGAAAGGATACACCGTATTGTAGTGAGTAATCATAAAATATGTATACGCTCTTTGTTTATTGAAATCGATGATAAAACTAAAATACGTTTAGGGAATTATTACTGGTTCTATTGTGGCAATGCATTAAGTTTGAAAATGTTAAAGATTTTAAAATTCGCAAGCGTATTTGATCGGTAAAAAATGCTCTTTATAGACAAAAATTATCAAATGCAGTGCTCAGTACTAAAAATTCTAAAAATAAGTTATCTGCGTCATATTGTTTATTTTTAAAGTTATTTAATGTATTATAATTTGACTGTCTCAATTTGTATTCATTGATCGATGCAAACAAAACGTTTTAATTTAATTTTAAATTCTCAATAAAATATATACGTGTCTATATACATTTTTAAATATATGTACATTATATACATACATACATACATCTGTACATACATTTTTAATATACATGTAATTATTAATTTCTATCGAATTTTTCAAAGTACAAATTCTTTTAATTAGTTGTTCACAAATAACAACATTTTAAAATATTATAGAAATTAATCATTAAAATACCGTACATTAATAATGTTTAGGACGACAGTATAAAGTAATGTTGGATTTGGCCAAACCACCTAGAGCCGAGTCCTGGGTTCAAGGATTTATGAAAGTATCATTGCACAGCGACAACGGTGTTATAAGGAACTTAGATCTGACTCCCAAGTAAGACGATAACACTGCAATTTCGACAACGACAATAAGTAAATTACCTAATGGTTATACGTTTCTCAATGTTACAGCGGTTACGAACGTATGGAACACGGAACTAGTCGGAGCTTTGTGGTCACTCATCCGGATGACATAGGCCAAGTGAAGCGAGTAGAGTTTTACTGGGAGTACGATATGGACGTGCTGCAACCCAGGTCCATATGTTTTTTCTGGTGTAACGATCATCTCTACGTGTCCAGTATTGGTGTCACGGAAGCAGACGAAGATGGCAGTAGAGGGTACGATGAAAATCTATTGAAATACATTAATCGTTTTTATAGCTTGATTCGGGGGTAGATTAAAAGTAATTTCACTATTGTGAGGGACAGCGTGGGAATATTAACAAACCTATTTAATTTTTTTTTTTAAAAATCGCTTAAATAGATAGAGCGGTGAGAGAGAGAGAGAGAGAGAGAGAGAGAGATAGCTTTGTATTAAATTCGTATCTTACCAGAGCTCTGACTATTAAAAAATAATATTTGACTTGTTATTAGACATAATATTAATAATGAGTGTGTATATTATTATATTAAATAGCAATTATGGCAAATTATTTCATTGTTCTGATCTTAAATCGATAGTTAATTTGTTAGTGTAATATAGACGTCGTAGATACTAGCATACTGTGCACGCTGATATACGCGTATCTCATTAGTGCCCACGTAATATACTTCATATACGTAATTAGTATTGTAATAATCTTTGAAAATAATATTAACATTTATTTAAACTCGAAATACATACGATAAATAATATAAATAATATCTAGTTATCGCTACGCCATCTATTAATCTATTAAAGATTTAGCAGTTCGAGTTTAATTTGTTTGATATCAAGATAAATGTTAAAATAAATGCTCCGTATTTTCTGTTGGCACGATTCTTAAAAATGTTTCAAATGACAATAAAAATAGAACTTAAATATTCGAACAATTAAAACCGATTGTACCTATATAGTTAATAGTTTATATAGCGTGTATAAAAAAATAAGAATAATTCCTTCCGTCTTACTCGTTTGTATGATAGTTCAATCGTTTTAATTAAAAAGCTAACACTATCATAAGTACTATAAAATAAAATATAGTAGTGCTAGAAAAATTATTAATATTTTATGAATCTTCAGGTGTATTTATGTAATTTACACACATACAAACGACAAATGAAATAAATATTGTCAAGATAACCGAATCAAATTAACGAGCGAAATGAAATATTACACCCACTGCAATAGTCAATGCGAGCTTACGAAGGAATAAATCTAAAATAATATTTTAATTTTTAGTGCTCCATACTGCTTGACCAGAAATATATTATCGTATTTTATGTGTGCTAATACTTAATAAAAAATCACAAATCCAAAAACATTTTAGACAGTTGAACCATAATAATAATACGACTAACGAAATAAATATTGGACACTAAACGCATTATCTGTGGAGGGAAGAAGATCTAAAACATACGAAACAACAATTTATATATGTTGTGTAATACCATTGTGTTGAGGATAATATCATATTTGTTGTTTAATCTTTAGAAAACGAGGTGTCCTGATGGATAGTAAACTTTGCAGTCAGGGTCCCAGGGAGTACGCTGATATTGCGTCCAGGACGTCAGCTGTGTTCATTGACAAATGTGAAGACCAAGAACTCTTAAACTAAATTAAATACTAAATTAAATAACTTTGTGTGCGTGTGTGTGTGTGTGTGTGTGTGTGTGATTTTTTTTTTGTGCTTTTCTATGTGAAATGTACATAAATTATATAGATATGCATAATATGTATACACATATTTTTAGTGTGCACTTTTGCAAATATGATGTACAAACATGTGTGATAAAGAGATACCTACCTTTAAATGTTATACGTTTTATATCAAAACTTTATTGTTATACGATTTTTATGATGATAATTATATATTATACGATGTTTCTTTATTTACATATAGCATTGTGTTTCTTTTCCCGGTGAACCATGAGTGAACCAAAAGCTGTAGCGGGATTCAGGCTCAAACGTGTATTACACCGAAAGTAATCCGTGAAAATCGTCGTGCAAATGTATCAGGTCGTGACGTGATGCGGTTTCATATTTTATCTAGAACTTACATTGTTCTCTTCGGTCACGAAATTCGATCAAAATATCCGATTTTCCCGCGGTTCATACGCACATCATCGACACCGCACGTAGTTATAATAATGTGACTACGATTTTCTAACCGATGGTATTATTTAAACGTATACATGGACATACTCACGGGGTGACAGCCCTCACGGCTCAACTTCTAATACATTTTTGTATCCCCCACCTCCAATAAAAAAATCTTGAAAACGCCTCTGAATGTATATTATTATGCGAAGCGCGGAATTTACAGCGAGTGTTCAAACAAGAAACGCGACAGTTGTTAGGTACATATACGCGAACCAAATCGATTTTCCCCTGCATTATCAATTTGTTGTCCTGCAGCTCCTAATTAATTATACGGTAACAACAACATTATGCAATATTTTTACCGGTCATAAAACTATCTAGTGCGATTTTATGGAAAAGTTGATTTTTTTTATTTCCTGTTCCGATGCCTATCGTATGAATTTCTACACTACAGTTTTACGAAACTCGTGACCTAGTGCCATCTAGCTTTCTACCGTAAAATCTAAATCGCTCGCGCATCATGTAATTTAATGTAAAAGGGACCGCATCATCGTTTAAATCGAAGCCTAAGCCTCAAGAATTCGGAGTTTCAGTTACGTCAAACGGGATTAATTATTCATTGTTTGTAACGTTTGCGTACCAATCGAAGGTATTAATATGGAAAATTATATTTCGGAATAATTTTTTTTTTTTTTTTTTGCTAGCAAAGTATATAGGGTTGGTTTTTAATAAATTTACTGCAATCCTTAAAATGTTCATGTCTTTTAAATTAAATTCAGTTTTGTTTAAATTTTACATTATATTAAAAAAGGTCTTTCAGTTTCGTTTAGTTTTTACAGATTTTATACAAGTTCATTTTTTATTTGTTTTACTTTCAAAGTTTTATACTGATATATATATTTGTAGATTGACTTCTAATAAGTATATTAACATAAAACTATACAATATATAAGATAAATAACACTCACGTCACTAATGCCGTTCAGATAATAACACTACTGACGTCGGGCTTATCGCTTTTTTTTTTATATTCTTCAAAGTCATTAGACATTACGGGAAATAAAAACTTCTTGAACCTTTATACTGAACTCACGGTTGAGTGCGTATGTGAGTGATTTTATTGTATATTGTAGAACGGTTTAACGTTTGCATGACGATTATAGTATTGACAGGTGCGTAGCTAAGAAGAACAGTGTTATGTACTATATCCATATTTATATAATCAATAAATGTTCAATTAACTCATCAACGCACAAATTAAATCTATATATCTAGAGACATAACATTTTAGTGGTATATATTTCTAATAGAGTGGGGTGAGACAAAAAGTCCAGCCCTAAGAGGTTGAAAAGGGATAAACATTTTTTTATATTTTATCAAAATCTTCGGTAAAATGAGTAAAAAGTAGTTTCTAGTTTCAATATAAAACAATAAAATATTTTTAATTTATATTGTTCGATTAAATCGATCAAACAAATAATTAAATAGGTAGGCCGAAGGGGATTTAGTTCTTTTACTTCTCGTATCGCTTAAAAAAGTCTCCTTTAGCATTTCTCCGAAATGTTTACTGAAACGCTCAACTGTTTGTTAAAAATAATCATACACATAAAATGGTTGAAAAATTGGCTTTGCAATTTAGTTGATTCCACTAGATCTTAACCTGGCGTTAGTCGCGCTATGGTCAAAATGACCACACTTTTTTTACATGATTAATAAAACATTTATGTTTTATATTTTAACCATTGATACTCGGTATACCTTTCAACAATGTTATTAAAAATGATATTATAATATTCCAAATATATTAAATTTCGTATAAATATAGAATAAATTAAGATAAATATGATGTATCATTAATTGCATTAATTGGGGTAATTTCGACCAAGTCGCGACTAATGATGTTATTATTTTTATTATTACGACTAACATTTCCGGACTTTATTTATATTATTATTTATTTTATTTATTCACTAGCCGACCGGTCACAGCTTCGCCCATGATTGGTTGTTTATTCTGCCTTCGGACCATGATATGTAAAATTTTTTATTCAAATATTATTGTTTAATGTGATCGACAAGTAAATAAAAAAAACGGTTAATGAAAACGGATTGAAATTTTTTTAGCGTTATAAATGATAAAAATAAATACAGATAAAAAAGAAATAATTTATGGTTGTTAAAGAATTTGATAGAAGTTGATGAAGAAAAAAAAAGAAAAAAGAAAAAAAAAAGAATTAAAATAAGAATTTTATAAGACTTCTGAGAATATGATGTTTTTTGTTGTATTTCCTGTTGAAATTAAAATCATAAGATGATTCGGTTCCCCAGTTCGAGAAAATGCCACGTATAATTGCCCATGTGAAAAGCACTCTGTATGAAGAACTACGCCAACGTACTTGAATGTTTGACCTTGCGCTTTGTTTATGGTAATGGTAAAATAAACTTTAACCGGGAACTGAAGCCGTTTGATAGAAAACGGCAAGTCAGAGGGAATCATGGGAATTCTTGGAATAAATGCAATTTCTCCTTTCCTTTCCCTGTAAGAATTACGGCTTCTATAATATTATTTCGCAACGATTTTATTTGTAATCTTGTACCGTTACATAAGTTCGGTAGTTGAATATTACGTAATAATGTAATTGGAGCACCAATTTTTAATTTTAGCTTATGAGGAGGAAATCCCGAAGGAGAAAGAGTATTGAAAAATTCTTGTAAATAATTAATAGCATCATCTATTGATGTAACTGTATCAATAGATAGATATTCACGTGAGTGTCCATCGAATTTTAGAAGGATAATATCATTAATTTCTCCTGCTGTTACATATCTCGGAGAGATAATAGCTCTTTCACATAACTACTGATAAGATTTATTGGACAGATTAAAAATATCAGGATAAACTGTAGAAATCAACTCTTCCACGTTATTGACCACCCGTCCAATCGTGTGATTGACAGAAATGTAACCACTTTCATTTTCTAAAGTTCTATTTCCAATTTTCAACAACTGTGCTGGAAAAATATCGCCCCCTCCCCATAAATAAACTCTCATGTTTGTTTGCAAATAAAGTTTTTCAACATAGTTCCATATAGGGGAAAATTATAAGCAAGCTTTAACGACATCAGCTCGAGTACTTTTAGGCATTACTGGTAAGGTTTGACGGAAATCATCAGCGAAAACAAATATTATGCCACTATATATTATGCCAATATAACTTATTATTACACCTAAGATCTTTTAATGTTCGATCAATTGCTTCGGTATGTGATCTGTTACTCATTGTACACTCATCCCACACAACGAATGAGGTTTCTTGAAGAATTTTTCCAAGAAGGCTATTTTTACGAATCGGACAAACGTATTTTGTATCAAATAATATATTTAATGGTAACTTGAAAGTCGAGTGAGCAGTTCTGCCGCCATTAAGGAGAGTTGTTGCTATATCAGATGAAACTACTGCTAATGCAACTTTACCTGAGGATCTAATTTGAGCCAACAACAAATTAATTAGGAATGTTTTTCCTGTACCACCCGGAGCATCTAAAAAAAAACTCTTCCTTGATGATTCATTACGTTTTCTGTAATAACATTAAAAGTATATTTTTGATCATTTACTAATATTGGTAAATTGATTTCTACAAATTATTGTAATCGGTTATTATCGTAAGAACGCAAAATTGAGAATTCAAAAGTATCAGATGCATTTTCATTTCGACAGGTGAGTTCATTCCAAATTCAGTAAAATATTTTTCAGACAGACAAACAACTTTATCTTCTATTTTAATCAAATCTCTATTAAATATTTCATCAGAAAAAGTAAATTGCAAATCATTTAATCGAGTGCGCTCTGTGTGAAGAATATCTTCACAAAAATCATTTCTGAACTGTTCTCACAAAGATTGAGGTTCAGACGGTTAGCAGAAAACTATGATTATTGCGAATAATTTTCTTAATTTTGAAGGACTTTCTGAAAGAGTTGCCTCCACTAGAGCATTTTTCTATTGCTCCCCATTTTCTAAAAGCCCAAGAGCAAAACAGGTAGCTTTAAAAGTCACGTGAATGACTCCATCAAAGGCCTTCAAGCTTTCAAATGAAGTAGGACCTTGTACATAATTTAGTAACAATCTTAAATGGAAGCACTCACTTTGATTTGGGTGAATCGTGTAAATTCTACCAATGGTAGTGTCCATTTTTATTCCTGGCCAACCTGGAACAGCTTTTCCCATCTTCTCTATAACCAGCCTCTGCTATCATCCCAGGTATAATAAGAAGGAACTTCATGATAGAACAGTGTTTTCGCAAAATCATTATGTGAACACAGTTCAAAAAATGCAGTTAGTGTCGTTTTTCTTGGATTTTCAATAACTTGATGAAGATTATTAGCATTAAAGAAAACACGCTGTCCATTTTCTAGATGATCAGCCAAGTGCTGAACTGTCGGATCTCTATCATGAATTTCAAAATTGAAAATTCTCCAAAACGTTTCAGAAGTACATATGTATCGACCATTCAAATAATTTGTAATCTCATCGTTTTCATGATTAACAGAAAAAGTAGCTCTATCTGATCTTTTATTAATATATTTACATATGTATTTTATCTTTTTAACTGAATGACAGTATTCTACGTTAATATGCGCATTAAAGCACCTAGATAGCACTGGACAATACGGTACAACCCAACGGTTGTCAACCACGACTTCTGTTTGACCACGAACTTTTAATATTGCAGTATAACCTCCATCATCTGGTGATCTCCGTCAGTAAGTCGGATAACCATCATCTCCAGTTTAAATATCCTTGACCAATTTGTGAGTGTATTTCTTACTACATTTTCCATTATTCATACATGGCGATCTAATATTTAACTCGCCGCATGGGCCATGAATCATATTCTTGCATACTATTTCATGAAGTATAGGATCTCTGTCTTTGTTTGGTATCTCGGCAGGAATAATTTTATCAATTTTATCTGGCTGAATTTTCGTTTGTAACCACAAAAGAATGTGGCAGTGTGGCAAACCTCGTTTTTGCCTTTCAACACTGTAAACATAACAATTTACATCACCGAAAATATATTTATTTTTTAATACATGCATAAATTTTTTTAGTTTGGTATAGGTACATATATATAGGTATATACAATATAGGTACAATTGTTTTTAATTTTTTATGAACTTTTATGAACTTTTTTACTGACAAAAGTGGTACTAAAACCTTCAGCAGAGTGTCGGGTTTCAGTCAAAAAAAAATTTCAGCCAAATCGGTTCAGTAGTTTTCTCGGTTAGCGCGGTCGAAGAAAATAAATAAATAAAAATAAATAAATAAATAAAACTCGTACATTGCTTTTTTAAATTAGGTACCCAATTTATATGCAGGGATGTAACTTTCAGTTTTGATTTTTTTTCTTTGTAAATAAAGTTATAAGTTATTAAAGTTGTATGAAAATTGATTTGTCTTAATAAAATTACTAAACGTGTATGAAACAACGTTTTTTATAATTATATTCTAGACAATTATAACGCGGTCAAAAAGACCGCGGTGCGACGAATGACTTAATATACACTAGCGCAACTAACGTCGGGTTAAACAGTGTTCTACGAACAAAATTAACTAATATTAAATATAAATTATTAATTATACAGTAATATATATACGTTTTTAATAATTTTTATTTTATTAAAATATATTTATAATATGTTATTTAAGACAGTGAGCAATTTACAAGTTTATATATTTTTACGGCATATGAAAAGTTTGCAGAGGAAATTGTTCACTAACTACACATTATATATATATATATATACCTATTTATAATGAATTATCTAGTAATTTTATGAGACTTTTTGGAACGCTGAGAATAATATATGGATAACGAATTCATTCTGCCATTTGTTGTCACTTTAAACCCTGGTCGAAATCCAGTGTTATGTTTTTTCAGAGTAGGTTAACGGTAATAAGTAATAAAAGTAAGTATTTATTAAGTAGGTAAAAAAAAAAAGTTTCTTATTGATGGTTCTTGTTAATTATTTTTAGGCAGTAGAGATTAAAAACGCAGTGAAGGAGAGTACAAGAATTAATGATAAACAATAGGAATCACAAATTAAAACACTTAACAAAAATTAACAATGTATTAAAAAATATACCACAAATGATTTGTTTTTCAAAAAAACTAAAAACTTGACTAATTACTAATTAAAATAGTTTCCCAAAGAATATTAACTTCCAAGTACTATCGCTTGTCAACATTGTTGGTGGTAACGGATAAAAATAAAAATACACATTTCAATTTTCAATTTTAATTCTACGAAAATAAAATTTATGTACAAAGATAACCAAGTTAAATATTATAAAAAATTTATCTACTTATTAGTTAATTTCAAATTAATTCAAAATTTTACGAATATTTTAAAATTAATTTCAATGGTTTGAATACCGGTTTTCAGTTTAAATCTATCTTAATTATTCCCCTAGTTTCGTTTACAGATAACAACCTGCTTCGTATATATGTCGGGTTTTGGATTTCGATTTTTATCAAATTTTGAATTTCTCCCGCGTACTCCGAGTTTTTGGACAGGATTTAAACCTGTTTTTAATCACTAGATAAAACGTTTTTGGACGAACAAACGACTGAAACCAAAAAGGTCGATTTTCGCGATCAATTTGATTCCTTCCCGAATACGAATGGCTGTATCCAAGTTGCAGTCAGAGACGATTTTTGAGACAAGGACATATAACAGCTGCGGTCACGCGAATTGTAGTTAATATCTTAGTTGTAGTCATATACCTATTACTCATCTGTAAAGTTTTTAGATAAAATAAATAAAATTGTATAGCTCAATAGTACAGTGGCCTACATATAACTTTTGTATGGGGAGGATCAGTTGCAAATAAATTATTATGGAAGGAAAATTCTTAAATCTAAGTACTTGCACATTTAAATAATAAATAATAAAATATATACTCGTATATTAAATGTATCAAAATAATAATTAACAATAAATCCTTGAATTGAAATATTTTTTTGTTTCCCTATAATTTCTTTACATTAATAACATTATTTTATACAATTTTCAAAAGACTTATGAGAGGGGTCTGATCCCCCCTTGTATATGTCCCTGCAATAGTAGAATAATCACAAACTAGATGATCACCAATCAGTGGTACGGTAAAAAGTTAGTTACAGTGTTAAACGTAAGGCAGTGGAGCAGTTGAGCGAGTGTCCCTCCAAAATTTTTCATTCTGAGATATCAAGTACTCAGTGTACTGGGATCAAATGGCGTTACATTGATTAGAAAAATTATACACACTGCAAGAATGAATGTTCACCTGAAGTTGCCTTGTGACTTTTAACAATTATATTTAACACTTCGTAACGTAATTAATAAAATGCGATCCATGTGATACATGGATATAAAAACAAAAGCAGCTCATACGTACTTTTGTTTTTTCGTTATTGCCTAGTAAATTACCTTGTAATACGTACAAGACTATATTAGATCACCTGAAAGGTTGTTTGTCTGACTATATCCCAAATAGAGTCTTTAGTGATTTCAAACCTACATAATAAAAATAGTATAGACAGTCCTATGTCTGTTTATAAAATGGAAAGGAAAATGTTGAAACTTTTTTGGAAATAAAATAGCATAGTATATACCATATTTACTAGATATATATTTTGAGTGACCGCAACTAGTATACACCGATACGAATATAAGGGCGAAAATACGACGGAAGATAAACTTTAGAATTTATTCACAGGTGGTTTCGTATTGTAAATCATGGAAAATAGTGATCATTTACTTTTATTACGATTTTACTCTTCTTGCAGAAGATGATTTATGAACGATTAATAATGGTGATGATTAATAACGTATCGTATTAGATGCTGAAGTGGATTTCACGTCATTGTGTCAACGTTAACTGGAATATCGTAAACCATAGACGGGCTGACGTGTCTAGCCTGAGGGGGAGGGGTAGCTGATGGCATGGAAAAAATATTTTGATGCACGTTTAGTTGGGCGAAAAAAAGAACCATAACAAACACTTCGTACACGCTACGTAGGCGTGGTCGTGGTCTATAAATGGACCGGCGGTGATCGCGACCGCGGTAAAAGTATAAATACCGAACGTTCGGCCTCGAGCGTGTTTTTTTCGACAGTCAGACGCGCGAGTTGATTCCCAACTCCGGACCGAGTGCGCCTACAGAGATTCTCGCGGCCTCCCCCGGAAGATCCCCGACAACAATCCGTATCAATCCCTTTATCGCGTGAAAATGAGCAAAGTGCCGGCCGTGGGTATCGATCTGGGAACCACGTACTCGTGCGTGGGCGTGTGGCAGCACGGCAAGGTGGAGATCATCGCCAACGACCAGGGCAATCGTACGACGCCCAGCTATGTGGCCTTCACGGACTCGGAGCGGCTGATCGGAGACGCGGCCAAGAGCCAGGTATGTAGCGCGTGCGGATAACGGGCGCGTCGGTGAACGGGTTGTATTAGACGGCCCAAGGGTGCGTGATCGTAAAACGTGTCACGGCGACTTCTGCAGATACGCTGACAAAAGCGGCGCACTTATCACTGGTGTGATAAGTCCTACCATGGTAAGGGATCGGTTTATAATTATTGATTTTATTCATAGTTTTTTCATTGCATTTTATTGTTTACATTATGTTTGTATTTGTCTAGTAGCTGTACGTAATAATATGTTTTAATATGAAAAATCCAATGGGTTGCAATGGAAATTTATAGATTATTTACAAAAAATTAAAAGTTCAATAATGCAAACGATTAATATCAAAATAATATAAAAATAAACACAATCACTTAGCACTACGGTTTGAACCAAATGGTTTATTTTCATTTACAACTACAAGACTATTATAAGTACAATGTAAATATTAAAATACAATAAAATAATAACAAACAAAACAATTAATTATAAACCAATCAATTACCGCGGTATCTCTGATCGCAGCTGTACGAGCGTAGCGAAGGGAGTCGGAATATTTAGGAAAACCACTGCGACATGTTTTACGATTTCGCGTCCGGAGTGAAGTTCCATCCTGCACGATCGAACCGGTTAATACCGAAATAATTGAAATCAACGCATTACGTTTCGTGCGCAATTAAGGTAGCATCGTCGTTATTGTACGGCGAGTACGAAATTACTCCGTACCGTGGTGGAACGATGAGAAAAATATTAAAACATACACGAAAAATCAATATTTGGTTTTGCGTGAATTAGGTAATTCTAGATTTCGGCCCATGTTATTAAATCATTGGGATACGAATATACCATCAGGTTACGAAAATATCACGATAACATTTGATGGAAACGTTAACTACCTGTAATAACACATGTTCTGGATGCATAGAGAAAAATGTCCTTGATAGAAAAAATATGGTCGAGTCTACAACATTGACGCAGGACTGTTGCAGGATGATGAGACACAGGCCGCGTAGTAACCGTCTGATTGATCGATATTTAATATCACAGTAGCAATGATAAATTAACAATAAAATAGTGGCAGATTTAAGGAAATGTAGTTTCATTAGCGCTCGTATAATATTTTAATTATAGTATTATAGTTACGATGCATTTATAGATTAAATAACCTCATTTAGTTTTACACTTAGAGTTACAAGTTCATTTTCACACTTGTTGCATCCTTCTATAATAATCAAATTTCGAAAAATTTAAATCTCAGAAGTTGAATTATCAAAACCATATATATTTAATATATTACTGAAAATAGGTGGAAACTATCTCACCCAATCTACTTTCACTAAAATAATTTTATTTAAAAACGTTGAATATAATTATCGAATAAAAATAAATAACTACATATATAGTTATTTATTTTAATTCGGAAAACTAAACTACATATATAGTTTAGTTTTCCGTTTTAAATGTCTAGTTGATAATTATTGTAAATATGATAACTGCTAGGCTTTCAAAATAAAATATATTAGATTTTCATTCATAAATAATTAATGTAATAATTTAAATAATTTAAATGAATACTTTTTATTTCGATTTAAAAAAAAAAATAAATAAAAATATTTTCCTATCGTAACATTTACGCAATATCATAAAATAAAATAAATTAACTAATTTTGTATTACTTTAATTACTATTGAACATATATTAAAGCTTTTTATTTAAAAAAAATAAATACACTCAATTTGCTACGCGTTTTTCAAGTATATTTTGAGTGTCGAAAAACGCATCTAAAGAGACATAAATATAAAACTAAAACTATTTTTATGCACGATTAACATTAATATTTATTAGGTTAATTTAACTGTTGTGTAAACAGCGTACAGTGTAAATGCGATTAATTATTCACAAAGTCATGAATTATGTACGGATCATTATTTTATAATACATAATGATTAAAATTCACGGAAAAAATATGTTTAAACACTCGTATATTTAACACATCATATTTAGCACAATAAGCCTAGTTGAAATTAAACAAGGAAAATTTCAAAACGCGTTTTGAAAACAATGAGCGAACTGGAAAGTTTTTCATACGTGGTCTAAAAACAAAAAAAAGAGACAAAACACGCATTTCCCTTTGTATTGTGTAAAAAATACCCCCTTGATTCCTGTAAATTTCTTCGTATTATTTTATTACTTGTTATGTAAAGCATGTCTATGTAAATTGTTTATTAAATTAAAATCAAACAATATACTACGTGCGAGGGATGATGCAAAATATCGTGAAAACACCTAAAACCGGAGTGGCAGGAAACCCATTGTTTCCAGTTTGAAACTTTGAAATCCAAGCCGTTCGGGTCGTTAAATTTCAAGAGTAGTGAATAGCGGAACAGGATTATTTCGATTTCGGATACACTAGCTCTAGCGGAGTTTTTCCTAACCCCGCGAGATTTCTTCCTAGGTACTGGACTGAATAAGAGGATAAGGCGATGAAATAGTGAAGGTTACGTCGATTTCATATATAATTAGAATGAAAAACGTACAGATTTACAAGTTCTTAAGATAAAAAATAGTAATAAAAAAAAAAAAAGAAATCGTGTTTGAAAAACTTTTTACAATATTACACCCGAACCGAAGCGCTCGAGATTTTCCGTCCAAAAGACGTTTCCCAGACGATTTCATCGTCTATATTTATGTATACATACGCGATGATATTACGATGAAACGCAGTAACGACGATGATATGTCGTTGAATGTGAATTTCATATTTTTTTCGCCGCGCGCCTACAGCGATCGCGACGGCGCGTCATCGGATCTGGGTGGCCGGCACACGAAGGCGTACGACGCCTACGCGGTGCGACCGTCGCCGCTGCAAGGATACGAAAATATCTCGATGACACATTTTATTTAATCGTACGAGTGTAACGATCCGGGCACACCGCGGGTCTAATTGTAACCGCGGTTCGGTCTTATCCGAACGTGTACCGCACGGGCTCTATTTTCGGACGGCCGAACGATGACGACGACGATAATAATAACAACAAAAACGGTCGAAAATCGCGAACGGAATCCCCCGCGCTCGGGTCGAAACCGTTTCCCGTTCGATATTACCAAATCGGGACCCGTTCGAAGAGAAACGCATCGCGGTTCGTGCATAAAATTATCGCGCAACACGTCGACGCCGATGCCGTTTCGCGTGACCATAGACGGACGCGGCGATGAATCATCCGGTTCCCATGGTCCGCTCCGTTCGATCGGACGCAAAACCGAAACGCGCGTTGCACCCCGATTGTGTTGACACCACCAACGTACTTATATTATTGTAATCGTTGTTTCGAACAATTACACCCTATTGCGCCAATAAACTTATTGTAATTATTGTTATTGTCGTTGTAAGGTCCGGTTACCAAAATACTTCGTTGGTTCGTATTACACTGACCGACTTGTGTAAATTTGTGTATACTTAAAACTAATGAAAAAATGGGTAACTCAACAACAAATGGTAACTCAAATAAATTTTAGTAAAAAGTATAGATATAGTATATGATATAATGAACAGTAATATAATAAATAAATTACGGTCCTTTTTGGCCCAACAAGTAAAAAATATGACATAATAAACAATAATATAATAAATAAAAACTCGCAACTTGATGGAGCGCAAAACTGGTCAGCCGTATCTACCTATCCCTAAAATGTATATAAAAATTCACGGTTCTCTTGGCCCAACAACAAATAAATATAAATAATAAAGGCGATTAGCGCACGTAAATATAAAAAATTCAAATTTCTGTCGATCAGCGCTAAGTTTTGGTTCAATAATAGGTATAATAATAATAATATATTAATAAATAAAAAACAGTGGTGATATGCGCCCACGAAAATAACATTATAATGAAAAATAGCGAACAAACGGCAATTCGCGCCCGCAGTAAAAATAATAACGACACACGTATTCGATGGCTGTGTTAATTAAAATACTAGCAGCCGACGCGGAGGCACATGATGTCGGACTTCATATCTACATATTATATAATTCACATAGCATAAAATCAATATAAAAATAAACTAAAATAGATAAACATATATTTGTTTGTGTGTATGTGTCGGTTGGTGGCGGGAGTTATTGCGTTCGGTTCTCTACAGTCGTTGTCATGCGATTACGTCCAGTAGCGTTTCGATGCTGTTACATTTCGGGGCAGTTGCCCCTAGTAAAACATTTGGGTGGTGAACGGATAGTCAGTTATAACATTTTATTGCGCTATACGTTTTTATCAGGTATTCTGAATTGGGTCGGGTACCAGTTGTCCGGTTATAACTTGCTTAGTGTTTACTAAATAAATATTCGAAATAATTTTTCCGAACATTTAATATATACATGTCCTAGATTTGTTTGACATAAAATAATTTCTGTAAACTTAAATACACACCTTTGTATTGTTTGTTGTTCCAATAACATATGCCGATTCCAGTATGTGAAATTTTGTTCGTTATGAGATGTATCTCATGTTAACGTTAATGTTTTACACATGTTCACGTCAGAAGTTAAATCGGTGGAGGTCGGCATTGTCAGTTGGTTTTAAATTTACTGGTTTGGTACACAAACACGAGCCTAAAACGTATTGTACGTGACGGGAAAACTATATTTTACTTACATATTCGTATGCGATCAACTAGATTTATTATTATTATATATATATATTTTTTAAAAAGAAAGTTACCGTATACTTTACGACTAAATATGTAATACACGTAAATAATATATAACTATGAGAGTATTACAATAATTTATTGTTCCAAACGAAAAATATATACGATTTCAACCATGACAATGTGTAAAATGTCAAACAGTTGAAAACTATTATTTATCACACCGAACTGAACAAACTGTTATAAGTTTGCATTCCTATTATGCAGTCAAGTGTACGGATGATGGACAGATGTTTAGGTGAAAGCGTTTCGTATATGTTTGGCTTTGACGACGGTTAACACTAGGAGTTACAGTAGAGAATATTTAAAGTGTTATAGACCCGTGGAATAGGTATAATATAGTAGACATATGAAACACGTTCGCGACAAACATAAATAAGACTATTTATAAAACTTTCTTCTGGTAAACGAAGTACTTTGCATTACATGTAGACAGGTGGTTTTTACTATTTAGGTACGACGCTTAATGTGGTATTCATAATTTTTTAACTACAAATAAGGGATAACTATTAATAATCATTATCTACCATCGGGTTTTTTAGGTAGCAATGAATCCGCGGAACACGGTTTTCGATGCCAAACGTTTGATCGGTCGTAAATTTGATGATCAGAAAATACAAGCGGACATGAAGCACTGGTCGTTCCAAGTGATCAACGAGAACAGTTTGCCCAAAATATCCGTGGAGTATAAGGGCGAGAGGAAGATATTTGCTCCGGAAGAGATCAGTTCAATGGTGCTTACAAAAATGAAAGAAATCGCCGAAGTTTATCTGGGCGGAAAGGTCAGTACCTTGATTCAGTCATATAATTGTATACACTTAATATTCTCACACGTAGACTTACCGTCAGAGTGGATATTTTATTAAAACTAAGTTCCTAAGTATCCGTTCTTGAAAACATGAATCACTCTCTTTGGCCTAACACCTTAGAACCAAAGACCAGTATCACTACTATTCAGATGCAGATTTTTTTTTCGGCACAACTACTTGAAAACCGTCCTTGACCGGTGAATAAGAGATTAAATGATCCATAAATGTATAGTATTTATTATTTTTTAAATTAAATAACTTCAAAATGCTGTGGGCAATTTCATAAAAATTTTGCACTTAGCATATATAAGAACTATTTGAATCCTGTAAACTTAACCCATTTTAATCCAGAATTAGATATTTGAGGATGAATTTTTTTTTTTGCTATTAATATGTTAAATGGAGTATAAATATATGACATATAATTTTTAAAATATTTTCTAGTGTGATATTAAATTGGATTCTTATGCAGTCAAAATTATAATTAAATCAAATATTTTAAACTAATATATTTTGTGTATTCAAATTAAAAATAAAATATAGTAACAGTCTGATTACAAGATTTAACAAACGTATGGAAATTTTGCTAATTAGTGTATAAAAATAAAATTAACAATTATTATTTTTTTATTCTTGAAATATTTTAAAGTTAAAATATCAGATTTTGAAAACTAATTCATCTACAAGAAAAAAACTATTTTACCATCTACGACAGTGAGATAGGTCGTAATAAAAATATTTGGACGTATTTCGTGCTGTTATATGTTCATTATACACTTTTTATATTCATCGTAATATCACCATGCCAAGTATATGTTATAATGAATTTGTAACGCTATAAGACTTTATTTAAAATAATAGTGGGAAGTTTGAGAGGGTTAGCTTAACTAAAAATAACCATTTAAGTATGATTCAATTGCCACAATCGGGCTGTGATTATCAAAAGATTATCGACTACTTGTAATATTTTATAAACAAAAGACATATTACTTTGATCTGATAATCACGCGTCACACCGTAACGCGTGATTATTACACCACCGGGGGGGGGGGGGAGAGGTGGTTCGAAACGCTAAAAGAACAATGATGCGATTTCTCGAAACTCGTGACGGAAAAGGCGATGAAATGCATGACTCTGGGGACGAAAACCGAAAGCGCCGGGGAGGGTACGGGGAACACCTTCTCCCTCGACAGGAATAAATAACATATATGTAAATTGCAGGTCACCGACGCGGTGGTCACCGTGCCGGCATACTTCAACGACTCGCAGAGGCAGGCGACCAAGGACGCGGGCGCCATAGCGGGGCTGAACGTGTTGCGGATCATCAACGAGCCGACAGCCGCGGCGCTGGCGTACGGGCTGGACAAGAACCTGAAGGGCGAGAAGAATGTGCTGATCTTTGATCTGGGTGGTGGCACGTTCGACGTCTCCGTGCTGGCCATCGACGAGGGTTCGCTGTTCGAGGTCAAGTCGACGGCTGGGGATACGCATCTGGGCGGCGAGGACTTCGACAACCGGCTGGTGGCACACTTCGTCGACGAATTCAAGCGCAAGTGCAAGAAGGACATCGGCGGCAACACGCGCGCGCTCCGGCGCCTAAGGACCGCGTGCGAGCGCGCCAAGCGCACGTTGTCGTCCAGCACCGAGGCTTCGTTGGAGATCGACGCGCTCCATGATGGCATCGACTTCTATGCCAAGATCACCCGGGCCCGGTTCGAGGAGATGTGCATGGACCTGTTCCGGTCCACGCTGTCTCCCGTCGAGAAGGCGCTGGCCGACGCCAAAATGGACAAGGCCAGTATAGACGACGTCGTGCTGGTGGGTGGCTCCACCCGGATACCGAAGATACAGAAAATGTTGCAGGCAAGTTACAGGCATTGTCGTATCGCGATGATCCCAACCCTGTACGGACTTTGCCCAGCCCCCGTTTAAAAGTTTTATTTTATTTTTTTTCACATCCGAAAGGCTCTATGAATTATTATTTCGATATCTCGGGCGCAGAACGAGACGCACGAATCGATCGTCGTTCCGAAAACAGGGCAACGGTGTTATTAACGGGTACGCGATATTCACTCACTGCAGCAATGCAATATTTGACTCGTTTCGGATATTTTATAATATATTATGTTGAACTTTTTACGAGCGTCCGCCACGTTTCATTTGAGTATCATTACTGTAGGGTGTATAGAGGACAAACTAACCATGGATTTAGTGAATAATATGTAATGATTAAATTCAAGCATCAAGAGAGATCTATTGTTGAGTGTGATATTATTTTAATATCGTGTTAATATACGCCAACTATAAAATGAAAAAAATAAAATCAGTTTTACTCGCATATGTTTCTTCTGAAATCCGACCGTTCGTCGTCGATTGAATTCACAAAAAGCTAGCGCGAAAACTGCCACGACGATATCGCAATAAATCAAATACAATAACGTTCTATTTTTGCCCGACACTGTTTCCATAACCCATCTAACCCGTTTTCCTCGTGTTTCCGGCGCAGGATTTCTTTTGCGGCAAATCATTGAACCTGTCGATCAACCCGGACGAGGCTGTGGCTTACGGGGCTGCCGTGCAAGCCGCCATTCTCAGTGGCGACACCAGTTCAGCCATCCAGGACGTTTTGTTGGTCGACGTTACTCCACTTTCACTGGGAATCGAGACGGCCGGTGGAGTGATGACCAAACTCGTCGAGCGCAACTCTCGTATACCGTGCAAACAACAGCAGACGTTCACCACGTACTCGGATAACCAGGCAGCCGTCACCATTACAGTGCGTATAACATTGAATCGAACAATACGTTATGCACAGGATGTAGTCCACAGAGGATTATTACTGTGGATTGAGATAACTCATCCTTGTGTCAATGAGTGCTGCACATTTTTTTTTCGAACCCACTACCGACCGCGTATTACTTATAACGTCTATATTTACTATATTTATGCTTAAATATCAATAAATATAGTTTTCAGTTGTGCGAGTTATAAATAAAAAAAAACCCAACGGAATTCGTTTACGATCCTTATTTAACGTTAGACAAATCGTCATGAGTACATGCTTGTGGAACATCCTGTGTACAACAACGCACTTATTTTCTTTAGTTCACTATATTTGCGTACTTTGTTCCCACATGAGATTTCATTGCGGTTTTTAATATTATTACAAGCCATTTAATCGTATTGCTTACAGGTGTATGAAGGTGAAAGAGCAATGACCAAGGACAACAACCTATTGGGTACGTTCAACCTGACAGGAATTCCTCCCGCGCCTCGCGGCGTTCCAAAAATCGAAGTGACATTCGACTTGGATGCGAACGGTATACTCAACGTGTCCGCGAAAGAGATCAGTACCGGTAAATCCGAGAGGATCACCATCAAGAACGACAAGGGCCGACTATCCAAGGAAGACATCGACAAGATGTTAAAGGAAGCGGAGATGTACCGACAAGAGGACGAGAAGCAAAAGGAGCGTGTGAGCGCGAGAAACCAATTGGAGAGCTACGTGTTCAGTGTGAAACAAGCCGTTGAGGAAGCCGGTACGAAATTGTCGGAGACGGACAAAAAAGCCACGTTGGAAAGGTAATGAATCCACGTGCCGAACAAGCGTGGTATTATATTTACAGTGTATCGATATGATAACTAGCCCAACCCGTTTATAGGTGTAAAGCAGTGATCACGTGGCTGGAAACGAATACGTTGGCTGACAAGGACGAGTTTGATGACAAATTGAAAGATCTGCAGAAAGAATGTTCACCGATTATGACCAAACTGCATCAGGCCGGTGCGAAAGGGCCGAACGTCGAAGAAGTTGATTAAACAACAAACTTTAACTGAATTCAACATAATAATATACTATAATATATTATAATATTGTCGGTATCGTTTTCAAAGCGTATAAAATGTAAACCGTAATAATATCTACAAAACGTGTAAAAAATAAACCGTTTATCCATGCCAAAGATGCCAAAGATGTGTGCTAGGTACTAAATGTATATTTCTGTCAGTGTTAAGTCCTAAACATTTTGTTGTGTTTGAAAACATTATGGAACAATGTATAAATACAATTAACGGAATCTGTGTAATATTCTAGTATATCGTTTCACGAACGAATAGTTCAGCTCTAACGAAACTAAAAATGACGTAATAGAATCATATCATGTATAATTATTCAAAATGTTAACCTATAAGACTTAGCATTGTTATATTACAGTTTATTATACAAACCGACTTCATTAAAATGTTATCATGTAAAGTATTTATAATTATTCTTATCCGTAACGAAAACGGTTTATTATGTTTATGTGCATGTCAACTGAAGTGAACTAATAATCACAAAATGTGATGGAAAAAAGTCGAGAAATAATTTATTCTTCGGACTGAATCTAACTTGTACACCGTAGAGTAAAATCGAGCCAGAGAAGACTTTATTTAGTTAGACTTGTTCTAGCTGTGTTTGTACATTATTGAGTCATTTTAAGAAATTTACTTTAGATAGACTATTGACTATTTCTTAAACCTATCTTCCATAGTGATACGTAAAGTGTGAATTAAATTACACGTCTTTTATGCAGTGGTGTACACAGGGAGGGTCAGGGATGTCAACTAACACACCTCAGAGAATTGGTGAATGGCTAATTCTGTATGAACTTGTATGAATATTTGTTTAATTTAATACTAACTAATTTTTCAGCTATCCAAATCAACATATTAATTATGTTTACCCTAGAACTAAAGCGTCACATGAGAATAAGTAGTAAGGCTCAATCCCAAAAATTATACTATACAAACTTATTAATTAATAACTAGAAAATTAAAAAATAATTAATATTAGGTTTATTTTAAAAAATTTTATTTTTAGTATCTTTGTTAGTAAGAAAAAACCAAAAACACTTAAAAATAAGAGTTATACTATGCCTAAACTCAGATTGTACTAGTGGGGATGGGTGGGTGTCTCCAAATATATATTTTCGACACCCTTGTCAAAAATCTTTTGTGTGCACTAGTGTCACGAACTTTGTTAAATTATGCTTTGGTATTCTGTATTACCATTTTAACATAATTACAAATAAGTTAATGCAAGTACTTACCTATGTACAAGACTAAGCAACGAGGTGTTGCCTACCGGAACATAATATATGAATACATATTATGCTTATAAGTATATAATACACATTACATATTATATCATAATATATTATTATATTTTAATATTTAAATATAGATAATAATAGTATAGTAGAACTCTCATACAATGGTTAATAAAGAAACCGGAATTAATAACTGCTATTTAGAGGTGTCCGTGCTATAAAAGTGACCGGTAACAGAAATTGTTGAAATTTTATTTATTTTCCAGGTGACCGCTATACAGAGTACATGCACATTTTAAAAATAAAATATCAAATAAATAACGCATATGAATATTGGTACTAAAAAATGTTTTTATGCTTTACAATATAGTGTAGATACAGTTTAAAATTATTAAAATCTTGTATAAGCTTTATAAATATTAAATTTTAAGTTATATTAGTTTATTTTAAGTTAATTATATTATAACAACATTTTTTTTTTCAAAATAAATCTTTGCGGTTTTGAACGCATTATGGCCATCTACGTCACCTTTTTAAGAGTGAAAGCTGTTAATTGTTTTATTTTATTGACCTCAGAATAGTTTAATACATTGCACTCAGATTCTTCAATTTTTCTATTTGTTTCCTCTTCGTCATTATCTGTTGTTATGAATGACTTGATCAGTACTATCTTCTTCAGTTCTTCGGGTTATTTTTATAGACAAAAAAAAAAAACATTCAAAAAATACTAACACGAAACCTACTATTACAAACATATTTTTTATTACTTATATTTTGCATGCTTTTAAAATTGATAAACTTACTCTATGGCTAAGCAATGGATATAAACAGCAAATGGTTGTTCTTTTAATATAAGTTATCGTAGACCGTTATGAACACCTATAAGCAATAAGTTTTAATATAATTAGAAAAATATACTTTTATAGTAAAACAAACTTGATATATTAGAATCTCCATCATAACCTTGCAAGCCATGGCTTCTCAGATTATTTAAACTTAAACCAAAATCGTTATTTTTTTCGATACGACTCTTTTAATAGACATGTCTGCTGTTAAAAACAGTGGCGTCGAACCTTTTTATATCACTGGAGTAAACCCTACTTATGGATACCTACCTACTCACCAAAAAATCATAATAGCAAATATTGTATACCTGTGAGCCACGACTATTTACTACACATCTAGTCATTACATAATATTAAGGAATATTTTACCGTACAATAATATATCTAGCACTTATTAAGTCTAACCACCCACCCACCATCTAAACAATTTTTGGGGTATTTACCCTAATTGCCATACGTTTTCGGCACCACTGGTTAACTTGACTATGAATTACGTTATAGAACTAAAAATATATAAATTTTGTTTCGAAAATAAATTAGTAAATACGTACTTTCTCCTCAACCAACAACAGCAAGAAAATCCTTAACACACCACTCATGTGTAATGTGTAACACACATTATAGAATTCGAAAAGTGAAATTGTAACACGGAAATAAAAAGGGTGTAGCAACTTATTATACGATTTTTGCTTTTATTCATTTTTAATCCATATTAATTAATATACGGCTCAATATAACTAACATATAGTATAAGGAAATAATAACTTTAGAAATAGGCAACCAAGGTAACTCAATGATTATAAGTTTGATGTTTTTGTTGAGTTTGTTTCATTTTACGATCTTACATTTTCTTATAAGAAAACTTTTGTTTATCAGTTTTGATTTTTTTGTATAAAAGAACCTTGTCGACTCAGTGTGCAGCAACGTTCTACTATACATTCACCGACTGCACATCGGTATTGCGTTTATCATCGAAAGTTTAAACACTAAAATCAGATCATGCATTTTGGTAATCATTATTGGAATTCCGATGACCTAGGGAATTCAACTCAAAACCTTAAGTATTGTATCGTAGTAAAAGTGTTATTTTCCCATGGCATGTAATAACAGTGATTTTTAAGTGGTATTATTTTAAATATTTTCTTCTACAATTATAATAGTTTCATTTGTATCGAAAACTCTAAATAATATCATTATTAATAATTATTATTAATAATCATTCTCCCCTTACCTGTTACTGGGACGGAGTTAACTTCAGTTCCAGTACAGTTATCAAGCTTATTGACCAACTGTACTTCGAGAAGAATACCAAGACGTCCACTATTTTCACTAATGTCCCGACAAGGTCTAAATGTTTTTTTTTACATCATTCTGTATAGATTAACTTTGTAATTGATATATTAATATATTCCTGACGACTTTTATATAGATTAATCTTAATTATTTGATTTTAAAAAACAATTCTACATTAATTAAGAAAAAAAATAATATTATGTAACTATAATTAATTTTTTATTAAAATTCTTACTGAACTAACTTATATCGTTTTACAGACGACGAAGAAATCCCTTCTGAAACGGTCACTGGAATTGACTTTACTTCGGTTCGAATAAATGCACAGAGTTCTTCGAGAATTAGACTAAGACGTCCAATATTGACACCAATTCATCGATTAGGTCTGAGAGCTGTTTTTACATTTTACATCTATTTATTTAGAGTAACATTGTACTCAACGTACAAGCAGTTTATTCCCAATGATTTTTGCCCGCATGATTCTTTCATTTTTTTAACATAATATATTATGAAAAAAATGAAGAAAAACACCCATAATTCGTGTGTATTGAAAATTCTAATTTAGCTTTTATTTGTCGTTTTACAGGTAATGGAGGGACTGTTCGTTTACCCATCAACGAAATTGAATCAACTTCAGTTCGAGTTAATTTAGCGAGTTTACCAGCTAATAGTGCATCAAGAACCAAATCGAGACGTCTACAATTTCCAACAATTCCTCTATTAGGTCTGATTGCTGCTTTTAAATTTTAATATTGTTCTATATAGAGTCTCTTTTTACTTGGCACATACTATTCCAAATTATTTTTACGTAATTTAATCTTATCAATTTGTTATCGTTTTAAAATAAAAAATATGTTTATATTAGTTATAAATATATATATATATATATATATAATTCGTTTTATATTGAAAATTCTTATTTCATCAATTATCTTTCTATAGATGACGAAGAGATTCTCCCTGAACCTATAAGAATGGACTTAACTTCAATTCAATTAACTAATATCACACCAAGAAACAAACCAAGACGTCCAGTATTGCCTGATTTAGTAGAGTTGAGATATAGTCTTATACTTCTAATTATTTAATTATCATACTGTTTTAATGACATCTTCTGTAGACCTCAAAACGATACTGAAGTTGAAGCTCAAAATTTGAGAAGTTGAATAGGTAATATTTATTTGTTTCGTTAGTAAATATCTGCTAATTTAAATTAACATTATTTAACAATAATTTTAGTTTGATTTAATGTTTATTTAAAAATTATACTTTTGTTCAAAGATACAAATTCTGAAGAAACAGTCCCAGATATCATACCAACGGATAGAGTACATACTCTTATATATAATGAGGTTAATGATCTGCAGATTAAACGTAGTCAACAATTGACAATAGAAAATGATGGGAAAAATCAAATAGACCAATTGATTAGAAACATCGAATCAGAACTACGATGTAATATTTGTTTTGACATTTTTACTAAGGTAATATTTTAATTATTATTTATTAGTCTTCGTTACAATTATTAGTGTCTTAGAACTTAAAATAACTCCACAACTTAACATAGAACTATAAAAAAATATTAAATAGAAATGTAACATAAAATATTTACTTAGTTTCCAAGTAGTACGTGAATGTATTGATTTGATGATTTTGGTTTTATTTTTTGAATTAAAATTTACCTTATCTTTATCAAAACTTTTTCAATCAATAAATTGACTTTGCGGAAATATAGTCTTGTGAAAAATTATGCATCTTTAATTTCACGCAAGAATTATTATAACACCTATTTATTTTAATTGGTAGGTATTGAAATGCTTTTCTGAGCTAATTTCTTATGTTTAAACATATCAATAATATGTTGACTAGACAACTAAAACAAATCGCTTAACTAGTATACAGGATAATTAAATTGCATTAATCGAAATATTGCAGATACATAACATAATTTTTTTCCGCAGCCAACTGTTCTTAACTGTTCACATATGTTTTGCCTCCAATGTATCGAAACTTGGACCAACAGTATTAACAAATTATGTCGAATAAATTATGTCCATTATGTCGAACGTTGGTGACAAATAAGACGTATTGTCTTCCATTAGACACATTTTAAAATAAAATAAGTCCCTGTTTATTAGACGAAATAAATGGAAGACGTGAATAATTGAAACAAACAAACAAACCAAACAATGAATAATATTTAATTTTTATGGAAATATAATGTACACTTAAAGGAACACCATAGTTAATTTTATATTTTCTAGATGATACGACTAATATAAGCATAAAAGAAAATAATGGAAATAACAAGATGCACCAAATTGGACTAATGTGAAGATACCTAGAAGAATAATACGCCGTAAAAAAAAAAATAAATAATAATAAGCCTAATGTACATTTCAATGATGCAATTTTATCAGTTCTTGAGTAAAAAAGAGAATGCTTTCTTTCTTTTTTTTTAAAAAATTGTAAAAATGTTTATGATTTTTCATTATTTGTTCCGATGCACTTAAAGCATATTTTTTTATGTTTTACTTAAAAAAATACTTATTCAGAGTAGATTGATATCTATTTTGAAATCATTTCTATAACTCCTAATTTATTGCATATGATTTTTTTTTTCAATAAATATTACGTTATACTTGTTAATTTTTTGTTATTCATTAGAAATGCAATACGTTATAAGATATTCACATATTTATAATGATACATTTTTTTTTTTTTTTTTTAAGAATATTTACAATCTGTATACGTTATTAATACAATAAGTAAATTTTTATAAATTTGGATAGTGAAATGTATACTTGGTAGAAGGAAGTGTCCAATAACACCATTGTAAATCTCATGACTCAAGTTAGTTAGTTTTTAATAGATCTCTAGACGATGACGTTTCAATCGGGTGCCAGTTATAATCACGAAAAAAATATCGCGAAATATATTAATAACAAAAAGTAAGAAATATACTTAGATATATCTTTATAATATAATAAGTAATAATTAACAATAAAATAACATTTAAAATTGATATTTTTCCTAAACTTGTGTAAGTATATAAAATACATCATCACACTATATCCTATGATCACAATATATATATATATAATATATAAGCTTGACAGCGGTTAAGTTTAACTACGGCTTATCTTTATTACGTGATTCAAAACGCAATAGTACAAAATTACATTATTGATTATCTAGTATTTTTATATTATAAAGGTATACCCACTAACGAAAATAATTTCTTTTCGCTATTAATGTTTTCGCTGTTGTAACATTTCGCAATTTTATTTTTCCCTATTTTATTTTCGCGATTTTTACATGGGCTTGTTTCAAACGACGTAATGAATTGATTGGGTTTGATATGGATTGGAGGTTGGAAATAAGTGGGTTTGGGTGGTTAGTTGTGGCTGAGTGTAATTTTTTGTAGTATTGATAGGCTAGTTGGAGAAGAGTTTGAATTTTCAGTTCATTATGAGGGTCTGATTGCTGACAAACTTTGGGGTGCCAGTTATAATTAGTAAGTTTATAAATTGAAATGATTTTAAGGTCTATTAATGTTGGAATTTTTAGTTTTTCCCTATATAATTTTCCCATGTTTCCCCGTATAATTTTTAATAAATAATGATAACTGTACAACAATACATTGGTATTGTAATTAGTCTGTCGGACTCCAATTAAAAATTAACCGGTGTACAGTATTCTAACACAGCTTTTGATTAAACTCGTTAAAGAAAAATAAAAAAAGTGATACATTTTTTTATTCCGATTTCAGTATAATAAAAAAATATGTTTTCAGTGAACATTTTGAAACGTATGAGCTACGCGTTAAACAAACAAACGTATCGAAATCGGCCAGGCGCGCGCACCGACCCCATAAGTGTACCCCACTCGAGAGGTGTAGTAAAACGAATTCCAGGGACATTTGGTCATTACAACCGTGCGGGTTAGGAGTATAAAGCGAACGACAATCACATATTACGCCAAACTATCACGTGGCTCGCATGCGAAAATTACTACCGCTGGGCGTCAAAAACCCACGCAGTAATCCTGAACAATCGTCTCAACCACACGTTTTCCCTATTACCGTCCCTTCGAAAATTTTAAATCCTTCCCCTCACATTCGGGGGTCGTATTCCCCTCGCAGCGATGCAACACGCGGAAGTTGCACCGCATATCATCCCAGGAACTGATCGCGTCACGATAACAGGATACATTCAGCGTTGCATACGATTACAACGCACATTATTTTGTTCGTGGTGTAAACGAAAACAACAACGGAAAATCGTGTAATGCAAACGACGGCGACCTTTCTGGCACGGGGCACGTGTGAACGAACCGCGATTGTTATTTTTTCATTGTGACAATGTCGGCAGTAGGTTTTTCGTCGCAGCGCACTGTCCACGTACCCGGAGTCGGTGTGTCGTCGTAGCTTTCCCAGTAGCACATCCGCGCCGGGACCGACCCTGCGACTGAATGTCGAAATGGTGTTCAGTAAAAACATCGCCCGCGCCAGCTGCGCCGATATCTTACACCCGTGGACCCAGAACTGTTCGCTCGCGCACCGCACCATGATGCGCACGTCTTTACTCGGCAGCAGCAAGCTGTTAGTGCCGTTAATTTTGGTGAGTCTGTTTGCCGTGAAAAAATATACCACATTGTCAATATTATTTTCTTACGATCAAGTGCTGGGTTGACCGTTTTTTTTTTCAACCAAAAAAAAAAAAGAGCCATAGGATTAATGTTCTCTTACGTTTTAATTTCGGATTCGAATCCGTTAAATTTCGTACCCTGTGAATTAAAAGTTAAAATTTGACATACAATAATAAGCAGTTATCGTAATTTCCCAAATTGATACAATCATAAAATAATTATCGTTTCAGCCGATGCGTCATTATTACTAACATTTTTATAAAATTAGTATGAAATCAATCAGTTAAGCTTACCCCGAATAGTTTAATGTTATACTGTTGCAAATTAAAAATAATTATATTTACATTTATCTGGATGGAATAAACTTAATGAATTGAAAAAATTAAAAAATAGTCAACTTGCCCAGCCAAGTTAGACGGCATAGTGCGGCGATACCGGACAACTTTGTAATAATTAATAATTACCGTCTCTTTCAAAGGTCGATTATCTGCTAAAATTGCGAAAAAAAAAGGGATTCAACAAGGATATCACCAGAGAGACTATTATCAACATTATTCGATCCTTAACCATGGGCATGTGTATAACGACATCGTTTCTGATTTATAGCTGCACGCTCAGGTACATAATTTCCGTCACGTTACAGTTGTAAATTAAAACTTATAATGTATGATAACGCATGAAACATTAGACGATAACCTTGTTACGTAAAGTGAACCATTGAATCGGTAAATGATTCATGGTTTTGAATCATAACCATAATAAATGCGACGAAAATAAGAAGAAAACACGTGTGTCATACGAAATCTTATCCTTAATATAGGCATTGTGAATCACCCAGGTAGTTGCGTTTTCTGAATTCGTAGTTTCGATTTTATATTTTCGGTTTACTAACATTTTTTTAAAACGACCTACAATTGCGGTTAGTATCGAGATCCTAGCACTTATTTAGTTGCTTTGCTTGACGTCCGAAAAATAAATAAAATAGTTGTTTCTTTACTCCGAGCGAAAACTATCGTACAGCGGTTCGCGAACGCATCACTTTTCACGACTGGGGTACAGATAGCGTTAATGGTATGACTAAAAATAATATTCAATATTGATTACCTTCGGTTCTAAATATATTTGATTTTTCTCGTTCTACTAAAAAGACATAGTACGTTTGCTGTATTAACATTACATCTATACAAAAGTTGTTGTACAACCGAACGCTATTTATCCATAAAGAATAATTATAATATATTCCAACGTAATGGTTATGTTTATGTTCGTTCGATTCGAAATAATATAATAATAATAATGATATTATTATTATTCATGATTGTCATTAAGCATTCAAATTCATTACCCGATATCGAAATAATATGCAAATGTCCAGCCTTCCGTCTTAACTAAATTTACACACATAATTATTACCAAATCTATGACGTAACATTTTTACTCAGAAATTAATGAAAACCTATCAGTTTCTAAAATGAATAATGAATACGTAAGATAAAAATCTCCTATTCCAGTCGACGAATCACAAACGAAATCACAAAAATAGAATTCGATGAAAATATCATAGACACAGTTCAAATGATTGTTGTTGTTTTTATGTAATTTATTACACTGGATATATGGCTACTAGCACTACAATCATAGGAGGAATCAATGTTTGTGGATATGAAAAATATGCATATTATTATATTGAATTATACAATTTGACTATTTTATTTTTTTATTTATTTTTTTTTTTTTTATATAGAATAAAATACAAAAAATACAATCTGTACATTGATTGGCGCATTAAGTACTCGTAATTTGAATGTAAATATAAGTAAACTAAACTTTAAATTAATTTTAGAGAAAATCGCCCATTGGAAAAACCTCCTAATACTCATCACTTGGATTAGATATAATTAAGAAAGAAGATCACGATTTCAGTTACGTTTTGGAAAGTGAGGAGGTTTATCAGGAATGTAACGATATTTTTGACAAAAGGATTAGGTATTTGAGTTGAGTTTAGAATGAAATCGGATCGGTTATAGTGAAGTTTGGTAAAATCAGAGACGAATTAGTTTCGTAAGTCTTTATGGAGTGAAATATTGGTAATTTTGTATAGTTTTAAAACCTTTTATTTTAAATTCCGAAGTAAGCGCCGTTTATCGAAACGCAGAGGTTGATAATCAACGGTATGTGATTTGTAGTTCATTATACGAGCATGAATAACGAGACCACTGTTTTTAATTTGAATTACGAGACTATAATATTACGAATAGGGAAATTGGATTCAAATGATTATGTTTATTTGTATAACTCAGTTCAATGGCAAGCGTCATAAAGGACCACCAATGTTGAATTTTCGCCACACTGATGTTTCACAACAGTATAACATTCCGAAAATGTAATTATTTAACACAGATGCGTCGGTAAATCGTAAATGTATAGTCGCTACCTACGCAAAACGTGTTCTGTTTTCGAATTTAATTTTCGTGATGGTAACCGAGTATTAGGACCACGCAATCAAAACGCATATTGTATCCACCATGAACTATAATAAAACTTGTGAATATAAAATTTTGTTTTCAGGAATCTACTGGGTAGATTTACGCACCCCACGATAGTGTTTATCCCGGGGTTTTTGTCCGGGCTATCGTACGTCATACTTCAGCCGAAAATGAAAGTTCAAATTTTCACAGCGCTATGCAACGCAGTGAGTCATCAATATAGTGTACTGTTCTTATATATTCATAACAAGCTCCGTATTTTAATGCTGACAGTTTTTCACCGTATTCCTCACTCGATTTCGTCTGTTTACAGGCACTCGAATCGGTCGTACTGAGGACGTCACGATCCGGACTGTTGTGCCTCAACATTTACATCGAAACGTTATTTTTTATGATAACCAACGCCTGTCTGATGTACGCGGTGAAAACATCCAAGTTCGAAAATCCCAAGTACACATGGTAACCGGTTGTCGTCATTTTATCTATTAAAACCGTGGACTTTAATCACGCGTCGTGAATTACAGGTTTTTCAAACCGGACAAATGTCAGCAGACAGATAAAGAGCAAGTGTTTTTGAAAACAATATTCAAGGTAATTAATACCATAATACCATTGAAAAGATGATTTTGCTTAAATCACTATATGGTGAAATATTAAATCAAGCTATGATAATATTATTATAAAATTGCACCCTTATTCGTTTTTTTCGGTCATCGCACATGATTTTCACATACGTAGTGTCAAAATATTTATTTTCTTTGCCGTAGTTTTTAAAATATTTAAATATCAATAATTGTCTTGATTATATGTATACTCTAAAAGTTGGGAATTTTGATTGTATGCGCACAACTAGTACTAAAAATGTATTATTGTTGTGTTAAAATAAAATCTTAGCATTTCGTATGCCTATGGAAAAATGATCAATGCATTCTATATATACGTTTACCCGAACAGAAAACAATCAATTATTTCGGTCTGGGTCTGAGTTTTGGGATTTTGCGCATGCTGATCAAAGATGTTTCCATTTTGGCACCGAGAAACATTCACAAAATGTTCGACATGAGTACGCTAAGATCAGGTATTTTTACCGGTTCGTACGTTGCCGTTTATGAGGTAAGGGTTTTTTTTTTTTTTTTAAATTAACTTACAATTTCAAATAAAATTAACACTATTTATTTACAGTTCACCATCTATATCCTGAACCGATATTTCCAAAAAGATCAGTCCATTCACGCTTTGCCGGCCGGTTTCTTAGCCGGGTTATCGTACGCGATTAGTCCGAGTCTAACGATTAATCTCTCCGCGTTTATCAATTTAATTCAGGTATACAACATGCAAAACAAATTTTTAATTAACTGTTTTATTTTTTATAGACTGTGCTTATAAGTTGGTCTGGAAATTTGAAGCCTAAAAATTGCCAAAAATACTCATAAACTTGTTTTCCTATTCCTTAAAATTTCTCAGTAATGCACTAATATATTTATTTTTTTTTTTTTGTGACATCAGTTAATATAATACATATATGTAGATAATATTTTTAAAATTGGTTACAAAAATATGTTCGATTAGTTATTAACATTACTACGAGTATTATTCGATAATACGAATACGTTTTTGATATATTTGTATAGAAATAACGTAACCATGGAAATATTTTCAAATACAATTTTAAATTCGAATAATTGGTTCAAAAATTCTAAATATGAAATGCAAACCCTAAAATACTTTAAAATTCCTTGAAGTATAAAGAAAATTATCTTAAAATCAAAAATTCTCATTAAAAATTATTTATAACGAATTAATGACGACAAGTACGTCACTTAGAAAGCTCTTGAAAACGATAATGCAAAGTTGCATCGAAATCCCACCCCATGTCATTAGTCATAATTATCAATGAATTGTATCATCTGTAATTAATACAATCATAAACTAATGTTTATGATAGGAGTAACATATATTGATAAATAGTAATTTCATAAATCATTAATTCCTCAGCTATGCTTGCTGCCTTATGAACCTAAATCCTGTGGTACTTATATGTCTTCAGTTGAGCAATTTTTTTTCAGTAATTACTGTTTTTGTAGAGCAAACGACCATGAGAGTAATATTTCTCTTCATGCAGAACACAATCACAAATAGTACAAAACATTATACGAAATTTGTATACCAACGGTATTGATCGGTATGATAATAATATGCTCCTGGTATTTCCTTACTACTTTCAAAGTTTTCGATTGTACTACCGTTAAATAACCGTGTGAACAATTTTGTGGGATAGAGGAATTAAATCCAATACTCAATGAATGAATGTTTTTTTCAATATTTCTATTAATTGTTTTTTATTCCGTACGTTTTACATCTGACTTGTTTTGTTTTACCGATAAATCGTAACAATAACTTATACAATTATTTCGCAGATATAATAACAGAAGCTATATTCTAGTCTTGGAAAATACTTAATTTGCTTATATCAATGAAAATGAATCACTCACATACATGACATTTGTGTAATCGTTCAAAATGTATTCATACCACAAGGGTATGGAAATAAATTGTAGATTCCAGAGTATTTATAATAATATCAAGTCATCCATCTACAAAGTGAATTGTTCAACGTTAAACGTTATTGTTTCCATTAATTTATGTATTTTTGATTGAAACCTTGTGCATTTCACTTAGTTATTATTACACTACTTATTGTAAAAAAGTTATACCTTTAAATATTTTCGTTAAGATTTTATTATTTTTTTTTATTAACACATATAATTTTCATTTCAAATTTGGATACATTAATAAAATATATAAAAATTAATTACCTAACTAATAGTCAATTATTCATGTATTATTTCAGAAGGATAAAAGGACAATATACAATTGAAAAATAATAAAAGCAAATTATTTATTAAAGCTAGAACTTTATTAATTATTGTTGATTTCTAAAATTAAATGATAAGTTATAATTTCTTTTGTTTTATTCCATATCTTAATTTAGAAATAAACACGGAATACCTAATCTCGATGTTTTTTTTTTGGGGGGGGGTAATGCACTCATGACCTCCCCCCTCGTGGATTCACGCCTGTGTCATGCCATCTAGCTCTAGAAATAATAATAATTTTAATAATATAATAATATTATTTTTTATACGATCGTAAACCTTTGTCGTTCGCGTATTCTCACACCAAATTTAGAGTTCACTACTTAAACAGGTAAACCTCTGAGATAAAATTGCCACAAACACTACAAGTAGCAAGAATAGCTATATAATATTTTTATCCATACCCCTTATTTCAAAATTATTAACATTCCGTGTATTGATTTTTCTCTATTAAACACTATTATAATATTTTTAATTCGTTTTTAGATCATGTACAATCGCATTGACGTAGTATCGTTCAGACATATACCAATGGATACGATCGTTTTTTGTCTGTCTGTTGGTGTTCTCTATCACATCCAATTGTTTTATCCAAGAAGCACATCGAAAGTAGGTTCAAAATACATCAAAATGGTTACAGGAAAAAGGTGAGTTAGTTATTTTTATACGATCATACGGATATTTAAATCATTTTAACACTTTTGAACAATATTAATGTTTGTAGATCCAATTTAATGATCGAGGGGCTGAAAAAAATGAATTATAATATCTATTGAAAAATAACGTGAATCAGTGCTTATCAGATCATGCCAACAACTATGGAGTATTCAATATATTCACTTTTGTAAAATTTATATTAATGGCATACTTACTGTGATGTAATTAATGCGGTACATTGAAGTGTAGGAGTCAGTAGTAATATGTTAAATGATTGTACTATTGTATTAATTATTTATTTATTTTTAATAAATATATATAATTACAGTAAGTGATATAAGGTCTACTTACTATTAACTGATTATGGTCGATCATAAAAAAAAAAAAAATGTATTTTAAACTAGATCAATTCTTAGGAATTTTTTTCAAATATATCACAACTTTTTTTAAAAACTATGAAAGAGTACATATATACAGAGTATATATTTCAATACAATCAACTATCATAATCAACAACTAATTTTAGTATACCAAGAAAAATGACTTAGAAGTAAAACATTTTAGAACTACTTAATTATTCAGTCCTAAGTTCTACAAATTACGTAACTCAAACGAAATTAAACAAATTATTAAAAATCTCCCGAATAAAAAAGCACCGGATCACGACTAAATTAAAAATTTTATGTTCAAACAATTACCACCAAAAAGATAAGTCCTTATGATCGCATTATTTAATTCACTATTGGATCTAGAATATTTTCCATTTAAATGGAATGTAGTAACCAAAATAAATACATAATAACAAAACAGGAAAGAACAAGTCAAATCCTGATAGTTATAGGTAAATCAGCCTTTCAACTTCTATAAAAAAATCATTTGAAGACATTATTCATACCAGACTACTCACTCTGGATATCACAAATCAAAAATTTCAATTTCGGTTTAGATCTAACCACTCGAAGGTACTACAACTTTTTCATTTATAAAACACATTCATACTGCGTTTGAAAAGCACTGCCAACTAAAAAGTCTTATATATCAAAGGCATTTGATAAAATTTGGAATTACGGTCTTTTGAATAAATTGAAAAATAAAATGAGCACTTCAACTTATTTATTCAATATAATTAATTAATTTCTTTTAAACAAGCAGTTCCCCGTAAAAATAAACGATAACAACTCCGACTTTAAATCTATATCTGCTGTGTACTTCAAGTAATAAAATATTACAAATATTAACAAATGCGCCTAGGTTTATAAGGAATGCAAACTTACATAAAGACCTAGAAATCCAAGAAATCTTAGATATCTGATAAAATGTTTGTCCAAAAACTTCCATTTAAATTTGCCTCAACGTAGATTAATTTCATAAGACACTAGCTACCATGATATAGTACCGCATGAAGCAGATACACAAAATAAACAAAACCTGTGTGATAGTCAACCAAACGTTCATCACAATTATATGTGTATGATGGTTTATTGCCTGTTAAACGATTTTTGACTTAGTTTTTCCGCCCCTACAATGTATATTAATTGTGACATTATATAAAATTTTCTATTCATTGCCGTTTAAGCCCTAATACCTAATACTTCAAATGAAAGATTTTATTTTTCAACTAGAATCATTTTATTGTTTTGCAATTGATTACTTGAGTAGTTGTCTCACACAAAAAATGTTTTTTCGAAACACATTTTTCCACCAAAGTGCAAGTTTTTTTTTATTATATAAAACGGTCAACAGTAGTTGTTTTAGAGATAGCATGCGTGATTGCATCATCTTGATTCAATTGCGGTCCTCTCAGGTAACAACATCGAGTTTTTTCTTTTTCTACTTATTGCTTTAAATTTTTTTAATATTTATACATAAGATCAAAAAAATATCAATCTTGTAAATTCAAATAGAGTGTATACATTTTGAACATTGAAAAAAACATCTTATATATTATTTTTGTTCTTTGAAAAAGGATTCACACGAATAGGAATATAATATGGTTATCGTTTTTTACTCAAATGTGTTTTTAATGGTGATAACATATAAAAAAAATAAAATCACTTCTTCATTTACTTTAAAATATTTAAAATATAAATAAATAAATCATATAATACTGTAGTACATAATGACGTGGTAACATGTTTAAATTTATGAATTTACATCGTGTGAAATATAATATCGAATACTAGATGAACGCCGAAAACACTATTATATTATTTATATTTTACTATTATTCGTATAATTACAATAATAAAAAAAGACCTTAATATATTCTTAAAATTTCATAGAGTTATTTTTTTTATATATTCGTATGGTATTATAATAAAGTGTAAATGTTCGATAATAAATATAGGGTTACAACGGAATATTATTCTCGACGTGTACCTAGCAGATTTGTTATAATTTATGTTATATTCATATTATATTGTAATAACGACGCCGTGAGCATGTTTCCCTCATAATTGAAATCAACTTTTGGAAAAGATAATTTCTTAATAATATATATAATATTATTGTCAGGAACTAATACCGAAGACACTCGTATGGTGTGAAGTGGAAGAATAAAACTGCGACCATGGTAATATATCAAGGATTAAAATCGAACATAATGGTCATTAGTCTTATTTCTCTGTGACTTTGAACGTTTCCGAAGCACCGTGGTATCTTCCGAGCCTACCACCGCCAAAATACTTGAAATGTCCAAAATGTCGAATACGGTAAAGACCCGTGGGAGTGTTTTCGGGTATTGTCCATTTTATTTCCGCCACACTGGTGGCCCATAACCATGACGTGGTTCGCCAAATGAATCTGTTTAAAATTAGACGAAAAAAAGAATAGAATACGTCAGAATAATCAAACTAGAACCAAACGAAAACGTGGCACTGTATGCTGATCACGGTTATAATATACTCACTCGGTTTCCCAATTGGCATCGGTCGCGATGACGACCCATTTCAAATCGTCTGTAAGATATTCGATTGTCAAAAACGTCATTTCTAACATCGGGTTGTTTCTAGGATTTCCGGCCACCTGGACGAAATACATAAATTGGTGAGGTTCATCATGCGTAATGGAAAAACAACGAAAATTTTATCATTTTCATTATAATATATGTATATCTTTAGAAATATTGATTATATTGTACAAAGATTTTTTTTTTTTTTATTAAGGAATTATGCTTGTAACATCACATGAAATGTTTTTTCGAAAATTGAAAAAGAACGAATAGAAAATTTTTTTCATTCAAAAATCTTTTACTTAAAATGTCTTATTGTAAAGGAAAATCGAAAAAATAAAATTCATTAGTTATGGGTCCAAAAATAACATGAAATTATATATATATATATATACGTATATGAGATTTTGTAACTCACGAATTTCGCATTGACCGTGTCTCCCCAAGCAGCCGAGTACGGGGGTTGTTGGATGCAATCGCCGAAGTTGAAGTCGGAAACGGGCGTGTCGTACAAGACGGATGGCAGCAACGACATCACTTCGGATCTCAAGTCCGCGGGTTCGGGGCCGCGGTCCAGTCTGACGTCGTCGGCCAGCGCTTTGGCCAGCTTCGAGTACTGTTTCAGGTAGATGGGCAACGTGTACGGCCCGAATAGCGTAGACGCTCCCTCGTATCGTTGTAGCTGAAACGCGTGCAGGACACGTGAAAGTGAAAAACAAGTTATACTTTTACGCACCGTTATGTATGGATGACGATCGGAACCGGTGTGCTATTCAATTTGTTCTCAATAACGTTTTGCATGAAAAATAACCGAAGAATTCGGATTTTGTGGCGCAATAAGATTCTGAGATTGGGGCGTATGAAACGGGAACGAAAGAACACTAAAACCAACATTTAAACGCTAAATTGTTCTTTAAAAAAAAAAAAAAAAACCAGCACAAAAGTTAAAACAGATGTATTAGTTTCGTTTAAAAATTATTAACCAATACGGACATTACAGCGACTAATATGACAATATGATATCCACTATCAGGATAACAGGTGGGATTGAGAAATAAAAAAATACAGCAAAATAGAATGTCGATTATTTGTTTCTTCTTCACATATCCATGGTATTACCAACACCATATTTTTTTTAAAAGAACCAGTAGAAATCCTATAAAATCTAAAATCTAATAATAGGCAATAAATCCAATGCCGGAACTAGAGATTGGCGAAATGGTTGCCAAGGGTGCAGCAAAATAAGAGAACGAGTTTGAGTTGAATTAATATATTTTATTTTGAATAAAATAAGCGGCAAAATAAAATTCTCCAAGGGCGCCTCGGGGTGTAGTTACAGTCCTTCAATAACCCACTCGTTATTTTGTCCTTTGACTAATGGATCGGTATGATAAAGCTCATTGAAACGAAAAATGATCCTTAGATCGTCTGTAATGCTACGCGTGTTATTCAGATCAAACGTTTCAACTTTTTCGGTAACATACTCGCTGAAAGTTCCGCATGAAATCAGTATTAAAATAATTTGAAGTCAAAACCTCAAAACATCGAATTTTTGTGGAATAAGGGATAGAATCGATTTTGTAGGGTTCTGCAGGCTACGAGGATAAAAGTTCTAAGTATAATATATTAATATTTTTGATTGGGTCCCGTGACACATGCATCGCGCGATTGACGTTTGTCACAGCACTTCCAGTGTCCGATCGCCTTTATTCAATGACGGTATTTAAATGATTTAACTTCTACGGCAAAGTTGAATATAAGTCAAATAAAAAATGAGTAAGTTGATTAATAGTATAAAAAATTATTCGTTATTTATTCAGCTATTGATTATTTATTATTCCACGAAGTTGCATTTTACTCGAATATCTCGTGAAACCTTGGAGTTCGAAATTTATTGAAATCGGTATGTTCCAAACGTGTATATTAAGAGCTATTGAAAATTAAGCCATAAACGTTATTGTTTTCGACAAGTGGTTTTTTTATTCGTTATGATTGTTATTATTACTAGCATTGTTAAAATTATTTGTTCGAAATTGAAAATCAGTTTTAATCTATTTACTCGATGTATACACAAATAAAACTAATCGAAGTGTTATTGTTTTATTTGATACTTGATTCGTTTAAAATATTATTCTTCGTTCACAGAATAATCGGTTGTTCTTGCATTTGTTTTTTATCTATCATTACGATTTTTTTTTGTCCAACTATGCCCTTATCTACGGTAGTTTTTACATGGACCAATGACCTGCAATGAGTGCAGTCGAACCGTTTACCTTGTACTCTTCGGGCGTGGTTATGTAATCGCTGTACGTGTTGCAGAGACCCGCGATCACGACGATGCACTGTGGAGACTCGCCGCCGCAAAGTACTTCGCTGATGGCCCTCCGAACGCGCCTTCCCGACATGGTGGTGAACTCGCCGGGAACGCAAGCTATGACCACGGGACCGATGGTGGCCAGCTGGGTGGAGACAATTTTCGGTGACCAAGCCGACGGGTAGTTGAACTGAAAAAAGACAAAATGGCCGAGCGTTATCGTTGCACGAGAAGTGGTCGTTGTCAATCGTCACAGATATGCGCAACAAACTAGATTGCCCGCCGTGTCGAAAGCCCGTAATCGACAAAAGTAGATCTACGTTTAACGGATGGCAAGGGGGGGAATTTCTCCGTGGTGGCAATATTTATGATGTTTGATCGGGCGGCAAATTTTTGAGGATCAATATAAAATAAAAAATATATAATTATTTTGAACATTTTAACTTTAGTAAAAGCCAGTTATAACAGATTTTTTTTCTATTTTTTGGAATCAACTTTTACTTTTCATCAGAAATAATTGTCACATCATTAGGAAGAGCGAAAAAATCCAACTTATCCAGTTATATTGGTAATAATACTCGTAGAACGGGAAACTATTGTCGATGGAAAGCCAATTGGCTTAATGGTTTTTTGTATTCGTAAGTCGTATTAGATTTATAACGCAAAAATATTTATTTGGTTTATCGAATTATGAAAATGGATTATATGATCCAAATTATTCAATAACTTATTATATAAAGAAGTTAACTATCATAATGTTACGAAATAATAATAGATATAATTATAAAAGTTCAAAGTTGAAGTGGAAAATGTTCAATTACGTATCAATATTAATGTGTAATAGTAACACTGATCGTTGATTATTTCGAGTTTTAAGTGTCGATTGTTTATCTACCGTAACCATTAAGAAAAAAAAAATTCTCGGTATCATTTCTCTGCAGTTTATGCAATCAAAGTCGGCAGATTAAATAGGCGTTCAAACTGCCCTAATACCTATACGATTATACGAGCCCTTGTCGCGGATCACGAGCTTACCTCGCCGGTCGATATTAAAATCGATTTCTCCGCGTGGCATTCCACCTGTTCCGGACTAGGCTTGGGTACGAAGTTTGTGACCAGATTCCACAGTGGATTGTTGGAAATCTTAGACCCGGCCTCGAAAGAGAACAGTCCCGCTCCGTCGATGGTTCCCGATGAGAACGTATGGCCCAATGCCGGCTTACAACCCTTTCCTTTGATTGTCTTTCCGGTGATAGGATCCTCGTAGTTCACTTCTTGTGTGGCCACGTCCACGAACTGATGTATCGACTTGATTGGGCTCTTCAGTTCGAATACGGGCTTGCCGGTCATTAACTCCTGAAATCGATTCCATTGTGGTTACATTTCATTATTTAATACCGCGGCGAACGTCATCATCATTTTATTTTGTTCTGCAGTACATAGAATTTCAACGAGATTCAAACTCGCTTTAGTTCATAAAGAGTAACATGTGTTATGGTACAGTTTTCGATTGACCGACAATTGTATGGACGTGCAATATTGTGATTTAAAAAAAAAATTAATAAAATCGATTACTCATACCTATTTAAAACTTTTTAAACAAAATTTTAATCAGCAAACGATTTTTGCGAGCACACAATATATGAGATATATATAAAATATACCTACAACCATATAATTTAGATTAAAAGGAAAAACTAATAGGATTGACCTACAAACATAATTTTATAAATATTTTTTCATCGATTTTAAATGGTGATTTATGTTGTTGAAGTAAAACACAGAATACTTTTAGAATTAATTTTTGTTTGAAAATATACTTTTCTCTCTTGTATTAGCAATAGTCTAAATAGCAACTTCAGAATCGAACTGTACGTGCATCGGAATACAATCATCAGACTATCATTACCATCATCGTTAAATAGTAACATTCAACGAATGAACATTATTATGTTATTCAACGAATAACATTCAGAATGGACTGCTTCCATGATATGGATTCCGCCAAGGTGTCGAGAGATAAAATAACGACACGGCTCAATTATAATATTATTCCAAGATAAATTGATTTTCTTTTGATTTATCGAAATTTTATTCGTATCGCGGTGGAGACGCATGGTATTCTCGTGGCATGGGCGATTTCGTGATATATTATACGTTCAACAAATAATATCGCGAAATTGGCAAAGCCACGAGAATAACTTACTTCATCCCATATCGAAAGACCAACGTCGTACACTTTAATTTTTCATTCAACGCTTCCGCGGATGACTCACGTATGCTTTGTCGAACAGACTTCGGGCTATTATTTTCGTGCTTTCTTTCATGTTGACACCCGGCCCGGAAGCCACGCAAACATCGTCGGCGTTGCATGAAGGCCCGGGAACGTCGCACGGTCTACCGGTTTTCTGGCACCTGGGACCCTTTACATTTGGGGTCACGTCTCCAAGGTTGGATGAAGCGAAAGCGGCAACAAAATTACCCTTAAATATATATTTGATAATATTAGTACATAAAGAATTATAATAATTACATGTATTACAAGATAATTAGAGGCGAATGTCTTTTGATCTAATAGTAGCACCTCGATAATAGGTTGCGGTGGGATTAAAACCGTAATGATGAATTTATGTATAAAGATGTAATTTAAGTTAAAAATTACTTTTTTAAAATGTACCAGATAATATACATATATAAACACAGTTATAATTTAAATAAGACTCGATACTGATAATATAATATAGCGTATTTTTTCGATGACAAAGAAACGATCTGCCACGTCCATCACTTATTCTTCACTGTCCCCTCGTTGTTTTATCTCCGTCCTGTCCAAACTCACAACTCCAGCGACGCGCTCATTTAAATATAATTTACGATTTCTACTCGAGCTTCCAAAAATCGAACGATTAACTACGATTGAACACGATTTGATGTTGTATCATTTTTTAAATTATGAATTCGAAATTCAAATAGTATTAATTTGATAGCGAACAACGCGAGGTATAAATGTAACAGGAAATAGCTACTTATTTCAATTTTCGTGTTTTTAAACCATATTGTGTTGACGCCGAGCACGTCGGATCGAAAGGCGATTATTTTCTTTTTTCCACACGCAGATACCAAAATATTCACCATCCCTGCCTCCTCTAGGGCGTTATCGAGAACATTAAACGCACCGGACGGGGTCGCAAAAAGCCCTAAGGGCTACCGGCGTCGCTAGGACCAATCGGATCACGGGGCGGCAACACTCACTTTTCCGATCAGACTGTCGGGGTTCATCTTCTGCTCGAACATCACAGACGCGTATCCCACGTTGTCCGACGACACGAGCCGGTTGCTGTTGTTCATGCTGGTCGCGTGCACCGCGTACCAGCTGATCACGCCCAACGGTACACCGGACTCGCTTTGGAACTCCAACTGGACCATGGTCTTGTCTACGTTATGCTTGTACCTGCGGGCAAGAAACAGCAGACACGCACACCGTCAGCCATCGTGTATAAACGCAGAACCGTGGAGAGAGAAACTCGGGTCCGGGGGTATATCTTAATTTTTTCTGCAGTGTTCATTAAATTCTTATCATTAACTGTGTTTAATTTTTAATAATTTGTAGTCCCTCATTTCCGAGCCCGGAGAGGTCATCCCTTTCCCCCACCTTCTTGTCAGCAATTGTGTGTACAGCCTAGACGACGCGCAACGCAAAGGAGACATTGGGTACGATAGTAACATTTTTTTTTTTTTATAAAATTATTTCTGCCAACGTTTCAATTATTCTTATTCAATTGTACTTTTAATCATTAGAATTACTTAATATGTTTATAGTTATGTAATAATTAAATCTTAATTTTCACGTGTCGCTCAAATGAGGATTAAAAGAAATAAAATAAAAATATCGTTAAAATCGTACTTCAAAAACAGTGACAAAAGTAACTTTCAATTTTATTCACTTTATATTTATCTTTAGAACTATTTCTCGCTAGTAATTATAAAAAAAAAACCATTTTAGGGGGGAACCACCAAACTTTATGTCTCTTTGTTTGTTGATGTATCGATTTAAACTGACACGACAATTATTTAAGTCTTTATGTTCTTTATATATCTTTAAATCGTACTGAATTTTTTTCTGTAAGGCATATCTCTGCAGCGTTTTTCATAATTACTTCGTCAGTTCCACGATTCGAAATTACCTCTCTTATCCGTGACATAACTATAATAGAATAAAAATATAAATTAACGTTTTCTTATCAACCTAATACAATATAGATCAACAATTTAATGTTACAATCGTCCTCTGATAAATTTGTTACATTTGTCACCATTCAATATTATTTTAAAAATACAAATACTTAAAAAAATTCTTACAAGCAAGTATATTTTCAAAAATATTTACATAAACTATACAAGTTTCTTATCAAATTAGTATGAAAAACAAAAAAATTAAAATAAAATAAAATACTACATGAACAAAAAAAAATTAAAAAAGTTAACTAATGATTTTATTTACTTTCAGTTAGCAAAAAAATACACATTTAATTAATTTTTTTCGGTGTTAATTATGAATCGTGAATCAACTAGTGTTCGTATTACAATTTTACCCAGTCTCTCCTACTCGTAGTGTTTCTCGCGCATGTTTCCGGGGTTGCGCAACAACTCTGCAATCGCGTGCACGTCGCGGATATCACGTACCGAACGGAAACGGTTAGCGAATTATAATCAACTGCGATGTTTCGCCGCAACGGCGCCGTCTTGAAATCGTACGCGTACTGCGCGGACGATTTTTTGTTTTTAGTTTGTGGGGAACCCTGCAGTTTGGCAATTTTTTTAGGGGACTTGGTCATATTTTTGGTGAAAAAAATGATGTTGAAATTAGAATTTGGCACAGAAACTTAGTTTTGAAGTTATAGTTAGTTAAAGTTGATAATTTTTTACTAAAATCCTTCGATACTCATTATTAGGGAACGGATTTATATGTAATAAAAATACAGAAATATGTATATATGTATGTATGTATGTAAGTATAATTTATAAAATATTTGCTAAAAACATTCAAATATGTAGGAATAATATGTAATTAAAAAAAAAAAAATTTAATTATTAAATTATCAAAATGATTCGTTGCGTTGAATTATTACAATATCTATTAAATTATCAAATATTAATGTCACCTTTGAGATCTGAAAATATTTTTAAAATGGCTTAAAGACCGTTCCACATCAACCTACATTGGTTGATTAAAGCATATTTGAAGCGCATAATATCAGAAGGCGATAATTCCAAATTTTTAAATGGTGTCTGCCATTCATTATTTTATTGATTGATTGAAAATCAATATAGCTTGGAATTTTTTTCTGTAACAGCATGAATTTTCTTTTTTACAACATTTATTGGTCCGCTTACGAGTTTTCATTTTGCAATCGTTGATTCGACAATTTGCATACTTTCATTTAAGGACATATTTTTGTTTCTAATTTTGTAAATGTATGTGCAATAAAACTAAAATTCACTAAGATGAAAATTAATTTAGTTTTTAATGTTTCATTTTGCATAATATTTTGAGCTTTTTTAATAGCGATAGAAGTTACTGGATCTAAATTTGAAATAATTTCTTGTACTTTTGTACGAATAAGACATATGAATGATGAAATGATAAAATATGTTTGAAAATATTTACAAATTAGCGAAATATATAAAAAATATGTAATTATACCAAAATATATAAAAATATGTTAAATAAAAGTAGCATCATTTCATTTGAATGATTTAAATCATGAACATTTCTTATCGAATCTTAAATATCTTTTTTTAATAAAAATATCTATTTACATAAATCTCTACTCATTATGCATCGACAAAAATGTTCTTGAAAGCGTTGCGCATCGTTGATTATTTATCTACGTAACCCGGTTCTATCTCCAAACAGGTAAAATTATTTTTTTGAGAACGATAATTTTAAAGCAAAAAAAACCTTGACATTTTATATACCTTCAGTAGATCACAGAGTAAAAACAAATGATGAAAATTATCATCGTTTTGCTCGGTCGGACAGTTAAAACGAAAATGGATATTTTCGAAATAAATCAAATTTTTCAAAGCAAATCCCCCGATTTGCTATGCAACACTACCCCAAGTTAGTCATAGAATAAAAAGTAAAATGCAACAAATATAATATTATACGTAATATTATATTATCATACGGATTTGAACGTAAAAAAAAATCCAAAAATTAAGGGTGCCCCGTAAAGTATAAATATACCTTTTTTTTTATTATCGTTACACGTCTTACTCACTGCGCGCGTTCCGCTTCCGGATTCAACATGTACGACTGTTCGCTTCTGCTTATCGATATCCCGTGCAATTCGCCTTTGTTGACAAATATCCGTCCGACGTCTAATTTGTCGTGAGCGCGTAAAATACTCTGCGCACAAAATGATGTTAGATTATATTAGATATATATGTATATACGTATACAAAAAATATGCATGTCTTAAAACAACGCGAAATCCGTCGCAGAAAACTACGTACAATAATACGTCCGACGGACGAATACCGGTTAGAGGTGATTGACAAGAACGACCCGTCATGTTACAAAAATTATTGGCAACCGAATTTAATTTCTGACCTTTTTACGTAACCGTTTTATTTTTTCAGTTCGTTTTAGATAATTTTTCTTAAAAAGTGTACATCAATTCGATTCGAATTCAATCAAAATATTTCTAATCGATTTTAATACGAGTATATCTGATACAGAAATAAATTTAATATATTTTACCTAGACAAAATTAATATGAATATTAAAATACGAATTATTCTGATGCATAAAACAATTGATTTTCGAATTTTTAAAAATTTCAATTTTCAGTACGTTTTATACTACATTTTTAAGAATTTAAAATTATTCAGATTAAATTGATTAATATTAATACTAGGCAATTTTTTATTCATCAAATTTAATTGATAAAGTTTAACACTGTAAGGTTTAATTTGATTTATTTTCATTTGAAACACTATTAAACAAATTTGAACTCGATATACACTACTAAAATAACAAGCAATTAATTATTAAGACGGCAACTGGCAAAACTTGTAATGCAAATTAATATGAACATTTACGCTAAAATTGAGGCAATTTACACGAATTTACTGGTGTTTGATACATTTGATTTTTATCCCAGGATATTCTACACACACACACGCATAGGGTATACGACTGTTCGCACTCACCAGAGTAATTCCTCGGACCAAAATGTTCAGGGTTTGTTGGACGAAACCCCAAGTACTCAAGTCGAACAGCATATGCACCATATAGCCTCCGGGCACCGAGTGCGTGTGCGTGGACGAAAGCATCAGATTGTCCAAGTTGTACATGCCCGGCAGCTTCTCGTTCAATTTTTTCAACACCTATAATCATAAATTGTACGTGCTAGCGGTTAGGACACGGTTTTTACTAACCATACCGGCGTTTACAGACTGTTAGTAAATATATACCCGTAGGACTGTTCGGGAAATAAAAAATAAACAACGGCAGGGAAATTTTAAATTTGAGATTTATTTAAAACGGTTCGTTCTAGAAGCATACTATATATTTCGCTAAAAACGAAAAACTTCTGTTCGCTTTTCAAATTTTTCATAGAATACAGTGTAAAAATAGTAAATTATAAGTGATATCTATGTCTACATATATATATGATAACCATAGTATTAACAAGCGAAAAAAAGGCCATACAATTGATAGGGGAAAAAGACAGTAGGTGAATGAAAAGAGGTTATTTAGCGGTCTCTACTCACATCGCTTCGTACATGATCACCCATCATCGCGGAATCGATGCTGACGAATGCTATTCTTGAGGTCGAATCTTCTACTACAAACGCCCTGGAAAACTGTCGCAAGTGGATTCCTTCTCCCGTCTGTTCCATTTTACCATATCCCAGCTAAGAAAATGTGAAATTTACACGATTTAAATACAAACAGATATTTTTTTTTTTACAATTTTTAAATAACGTTTTTATTTGCATTTTAGTTATTGAAGGTTTTTTATTGATATTTTTAAATCATATAAATCCTGACTCCAGCTATGATAGGTGGAAATATTGTAATAGAAACCCGATAAATATCGAATGATAATAATTAATGCAGTAAATAAATAAAATGTTAATTTCGTCTTGTTGGAATATTATTAAAAAGTAATGGATAATATTCATCAATATCTATCTATTTCTCTGTATCAAAATTTTCTCTCATTTTAAGATGGATATACATATTGTATATATATATTAGGTTAGAATAATAATAAGAAAATATAAAAATTGTTTTCAATATAATAATATATAATTATTTTGAAACGTTTTAATGTCATGCACAAATACATTTACAATACCTCATGAACATTTTTTCTTGCTTAATAGTTTACTATTAGAACGTAATTAGCTTCATTCCCACGCCATTACTTAAATAGTCACATTTTTTTTCTTTGAATTTTTATACATTCAATAATTACTGTTGGAATGTTTGTATGTATATATTTATTTACAACCATTTTTTTTTTTTTTTTGTACAAATTTCCTAAAGTATCAATTATTTATTTTTTGATTATTTTACTTTAAGGTAGGCTAAGGAATTTCAAACATTAAAAACATTTATCAAAGCATTTATACAAAAAGAAAGAAAAATAAACTAAAAAGTGAGAATTTTCTACAAACAATTTTTTCATGCTATAAAAAACATGTTACTGGAAAAAACATGTATTGGAATGTAAGACGAAATTTACTATTTGGATAAAACTTATGGATAGTGTTAGCAGTGAAGTAACTAGAAATTCGATTGCTCGTAAAAAAATAATTACAAAGAAACTTTGATAATAGATAATAATTAATTAAAAAAATATTGTACAGACAATTATGAATATGGTATTTTTTTATTACACAATAGATGTAGCTCGTTTTTTTTTTTTTTTTTTTTTTTTTTTGTTTAAATAATATAAACCTTGGCAATAACAAAATTTTAAATATTTAATTTATATTTGAAGAAATGTTCTCTCAGTGTTATGAACGTTTTTTCTTTTTTGATTTCACTTCAGACAACTTATCGATTAAATCTTCAAAGTTAACCTCTTGAGCTGTTTCTTGTTCAATTGAAGTAATTCCAGGTCAATTAAACAATCGCATATAAGAATCGATAACAAATCGAGTAATCTACAGTCGCCAATGCAATTTCCTAAATCAGAAATTATACCGCTCTAGCTGTAGAATGTGTTATTTTTTTTTCAAAATAATTAATATATTTATATATTTTAATCTCACAGATTCGGTGCGCCAACGAACAAACGATGCATATAAAATAATCTATAAGTGTGTATCAGTCATTTTTTTAAATAGTAAATTAATTTTATTTTAAAGTAATTTAATTTAACTAGAGCATAGTTTTTTTTAAAAGATTATGGTATTTTTAAATTTTGTCATAATGGTGATTTGTCTTTTGGATTCTTAAGATTCTTTAAGAGACTTGTTAGAGCCATGGGCCTGCGGCTTATCATATCACACTATCCGTACACTACTGGGTGTTTTTAGTTCACGATTATAAAAATTATTCATAGATTCTTGTTTATTATTTCTATTAACTATTCAAATATTAATGCTTCACATATTTTTCGAATCTTTGTACATACAACAGTAGGTATATAATAATGAAATTCGATGAATTCAATGAATATGCAATGAATTGCATTGGACAACCGTACTGAAAAATTTTCAATTATTGATATTTATTCAAAATTAAACTTTAAAAATTTGTACTTATTAGAAAATCATATTGCAACTAAAAAAATCCCCATGATAACTCTATGACTTTTCAGCTAATATATATTTAGAATTTAAACTGACGGGCAATACTGTTGTCTTATTAAAATAATAATCTTTATCATAATATCAGTAAAAGCAACTTACAAAAGTGACGCCAGCTGAGGGTCCAGTGACATCGGCAATACCAATACCGACTTTGTATGATGATCGAGCCGTTGAGATCCATAGTGATATAAGTAATATAAACCTCAGTTCTGAAACAAACACAAAAATCAATGGTATTTGTAATTATCGTGTAATAAAGAAGAATAAGGACATTTTTAAAATGATAGGTTAGTTGATACCAGGAGTGGATTGGCCTATCGGGAAATCGGGAATCTTCCCGATGGGCTGGTCCTTGTTTGGGCCATTCTATATTATTATATAATTATCAAAAAAAAAGTTTTATTTTGTAATATAAATAAAAATCATTAAACAAATAAATATATATTTAAAAATGCATTAAGATCAAACTTCAAGTTCAAGTTGTAATTTATTAATCATGTGACCTATCCAAAACTATTACAGGTATAATTATAGTAAAGTTATTGTAGATTTTATTAATTTAGGTGTGAAACTAAACAAATTTTAAAATTCATGCAAAATAAAGTATTTTTTCGGAAGGAGGGAGAGGTAAAATAGTTTAATTTGTGATTCATGGGTCGGTTTGTTTCATATTTCCTGGGCCGAAAATAATTGTCAATCCACCCCTGGTTGATATTACTATTGTTGGCGTATTTCCTCGTAATATATTGGTTGGATTCGAAATAAAAACTATCTAACTTTTGTATCTGAAACGTTTGTAGAGTACACATAAATTACAGATTATTCTAAGACAAACATTAGCTTAACGGGATTTGGTAACATGATGTTGACAGTTAAATGCTAGCAAAACCTTGATATGGAACATTTGCATGCTCTATGTTTTTTTACAATTTAAAATACGCTAAGTCGTATAGGGCTTAAAATATTTTTCGTTAAATAAATTATATGGTAAATTATTAGATGTTGAATGATGATAAGCAATATTGTTGTTAATAAATAAATAACTCGGATGAAAAAGAATTATATCACGTTGTAAAAATACACTTACAGTAACGGCGATTTTTACATATTAATACATTGTGTTATTAGGGTCGGTGGTACCTTTAGCGAATCCTTGAGAAAAAAATGATTTTACCAACAACATTAGTCACCTATAGACTATAAGGTGTAATTAAAGGCGATAATATGCAATCAGACTCTGTTATAGCCGCATACGATATCGGGTAATGACTAATTAAAAATAAATACTATAATTGTCTAGGTATCCCGGTATTAATACCATGCGGCTTGCCATACGGGCTGGCGTCGGTGCATAAATGACATATTTAATATAATATAATATTGTTGTTTTGTTTATTTATTTTATTACACACCAAGGAATTTCTTAAGATATCACACTCATCGGGCGATCCACACATCTCACATTTTATTTTATGAGATTTCCATATAGAATATTTTTCAATGAATATTTTAAGCACGAGGCCTTGGAAAAATGCCTCACTCTAACGTTTTCTATGTGTTTTATAATTGTATACAAAAATTGATAATGCCATTTATGTTTTTATCTGATCGGCTTTGATGGGCACTCGAACGTGATACAGACAATTTTTTTTCGATATTTTATATTATTCTAATAACATAAATCAATAATTCTTTTACCTTCAAAATACAACTTATAATAAGTTCTGGTGATATTTTTCCCAAAATGCAATGGTAATTATGAAATCTTCGAGGATTTCGAGATTTTACCATCACGCGCTTACAATATTGTGAAATTAGCTGTTCGACACAGCAATCACGTAAGAACAATAAATATTATATCACGTCTAGGTCATCATGTCACTACTAATTTACATTACGCGTGTGTTCATATCCGTGTATTTGGTCTGTATACATATTATCCACCATAATAATTATGGGTTATGAAATGTGATGTTATGAAAAAAAAAAGAAAAAAATGACAAATGAAAAGAGATTAAAATCTATACGTTATATATTCGTAATAATACTGAGACAGGAAGTATATTATAAATAATATAAATAATGTGTAAGTATACCTGTATATTTTTATGTACAAACGAAAAAATTAAATACTGTGAAACATTGATAACTCGAATCGGTTGGGAGCAAAAAAAAATTAGAGTTATCTAAAATTCAACTTATGGAAAACCTCAATAACTCAAATTGGCAGTAAAAAATTAAGTTACCAAAAATATTTATTTTAATTAAAAACACGAATACTTCATTTTATAATTTTATTTATTTATATATTTACTAATAAATGTATAATGAATGTAAGTATGTATATTGTATTCAAATTAAAAAAAAAAAAATTCTATAAAAAAGTATAAAATAGTAAATATGTATATGTATAAATGAAGAAAATACAATATAATGACTTAAGTAGATCTATGTTTTTAAAGAAGTCTAATATTTTTGATTGTTTTTTATTGTTTGACCTATCTGTAAAGTTTTCAATAACATTTACGCGGAAAAAATCTCATCTCCAATTTCTCGTTCTTGAATGTGCTTTTGTATAACTTGTTAACTGTCTAATGTCTGGGCAAGAGTAGTTTTAGACAAAGCCATATTATATCGTTGAATTTATAACTGTACCTTTTAAGCATTAAGTAAAAATTAGATTGATAATATTATTCGGTTTTCAATTATGATTATTGATATTTATAATAATACACTTGGTTATTTAACCTTCGACTTTCGAGGTATGTATGTGTTATACGAGTATATTATTATATAAATTGGAGTTATAAACCAAAATTCAAATATAATAACTTCAACTTATCGAGAAATTAGAGTTAGCAAAATTCGAATTATCGAGAAAATGTATAATTCATATCATATATTGTAAAGCAGGGGCCAAGGAATTCCTTCGAGTTATCGATAATTCGACTTATAGAGATTCGAGTTATCGAGGTTCCACTGTAATATTGCATATACTTTTTAAAATGTATTTTTTTTTTCAACGAATTACGTAATGAACGAGTATTGTCGCCTTAAAGTAGAAACAATTGGTATTTTGGTTGGAAACATAGCTCGTGAAATATTGTTGTTTTGCATATAAATAATGTTTGAACTAGAAAAATAAGTCTACGTCATGATGTAACAATGAATGTTAGTCATTTGCTTATATGATGACATAGTATTTCAGCTATGAATGGATCTAAGGGCGATGGAAGCGAAATTCAACAATCATAGTGTTATAGAGTATATTAATATCGATGTCGAAAATCCACGTTAAAATGTATTTAAAATTCAAATCTTCAAAATAAACGAATGCGGTAAGATTGCAATAATATGTTTAAAAATATGTTTTTACACATATTATTTTGTTCACCCATGCAAAAAGTACGTAAATAAATATTACCACCTGCTACAATTATTTAGCAAAAAATTTGTTTAAAATTTGTTTGTATACGCAAATCGTATTTTATTTTTATCGTTCAAATGTAGGTTTTATTCTTTTATTAATCTTAAGAAAACATTTAGCGAGATATCGGAGTGTCAATCCTATGGGTCGTTTTGAGATATATTTTTCTCAACTACTTGAAATTCATGAACACTTCACCTAGTTTGCCATATGAAATTCACGAATACTTCACTTAGTTCAATAACTGTGTTGTTTTCTCGCACTCTTGAGTCGGCTGAGATGTACGACGAGCATTCGAAATGAAAGAAAAAAATCAATATAGTATTTCCGAGATATGCAGAAACCGGTGGCATTATACATCAATAACGATTCTATCCGTTGCAATTGTCATTTTTCAATCATAATATAATATATAATAATAATAATATAATATTATTATAATATTATATATAATAATTTATATTTTTTTAATAATTTATTATTATTATATAGAATATAATATATTATATATATAATCCAATATAATGAACATTATACACTTATGTACTTAATATCTGAATTTTTTTTTATTTTTATATTCAAACATAAGAATTCAACAGAAAATTTAATAGAAGAGCGTGCAATTAGTACTGAAAATATATATTATTTTTAATCGATGGATTCAATTAGGGCGTTTTATATTTATTTATTGCTATCAAATATAAATAAATATAACTCACCCAATATAAACTGAAAAACAATAGCAGTATCTCTCTGCTGTACATTCAGTGTGATCCGTTGTACTTTTTTTATCATTTCGGACCGAATTTTGGGTTCTTAAACTCGATAAATATGTACATAAGAGATAATTAGGAATATATAGCTTTATATTTTTTTAAAAATTTTCAGAATTTAATTTGATTTGAAATAATGCCATTGATTTTTGGTCACTAAATATAGTTCTCCATTCAAGTTTTAATAAATAATTAAATTTAATATATTTATCTGTAATATAATGTTGAATGTGATAAATTCGATTTGAAGATAATTTTTTTACCATCCTAAAGTTTACACGGTTCCGTAACCCGTTTCAATGCATTAAAAATAATTATTTTCCCTTACAAGGAGTGAATCAACAACTTGCGACATTCAATACTATTTATAAACTGGTTTGTCGTATAAACATTTATTGGGTAGAAATGTTTTCAACTTTCTCTGAGTATGAAAGAATGAGCAACGGTGATTGTCGTTAAATTATAGTTGAAGTATCATTAAATATAACATTGATTTATTTATTTTTTTCAGATTTTGAATGAAACAAGGGAGTTATTGATTTTACCATAATGTATTTTTTGTTGTCTGTGTACATGATTTTAACCAGAAGAATCTCTCCGATCATCACAGACACAAAGATTTTCACAAAATTTTTTTCATTCAAAATAGTATATAGTTAATACTTTGAACTTCGTAATTTTCTGAAAGATTTTGTCTTCTTTTAAGTAATTTAATTTTTTCTTAGCGTTCTTTCGTAAAAGATCGATAAAAGTATTTTGGTTGAGCAAAAAGCCTTGAAAACTTAATACAATGTTCTTCATACACATCACTTATTGGTGAATGTAACTCGATCGTGGAGTTTTTTTTTTCATACATATTTACTATATATTAATAAATCAAAAACAAAATATTATTTGATTACATTAAGACGAATGTCTCGCGCGTTTATAGCAGTAAAACTGTTATCATCGCAATTTTTTCGATGATGGTTCAACATAAAACTAGTTAAAAACAATACCATAAATTAAT